TGGTCTTAACAAAAATAGTAGATGCAATGTTATCATATTCTGGTCTTAGACAAAGATTTTGGAGTGAAGCTTTATTAACAACTTGTCATATACTAAATAGAATTTCTAACAAAAAAAACAAAATAATTCCATATGAGTAATGGAAAAAAAAACTAAATCTTAATTATTTAAAGGTTTGGGGATGTAGAACTGTAACTAAAATTTCAGAACCCAAAAGAAAAAAGTTGGGTGAAAGAGGAACAGAATGCATATATATAGGATATGCACAAAATAGTAAAGCGTATAAGTTCATGGTTATTGAATCAAATGATTTAATTTCAATTAACACTGTTATTGAATCAAGAGATGCAATTTTTGATGAAAATATATTTAAATCTATTTTGAGACAACTACAAGCAATTCATCCTACAAGTGAAAAAGAAATTCCAAATCCATTGGAACAAATTGAAATTAGTGATAAATCTTATTAAGAACAAGAACAAGTAAAAGGGTTAGAAAGGTAAAAGATTTTAGACCAAATTTCTTTATGTTCTTTGTGAAAGGAATTGGTGAAAGCATAAATAATAAAATTCTTTATTGTTTTAATGCTGAGTATGATCCTATTATATATGAAGAGGCAATGAAATCTTAAGATTCTACTTTTTGGAAATAAGCAATAAATAATGAAATGGACTTAATAATGGGAAATAACACTTGGATTTTGGTTGATCTTCCACCAAGTTCTAATCCAATAGACTATAAATGGATTTTCAAAAAGAAAATGAAGGTGGATGGAACCATAGATAAATTTAAAGCAAGGTTAGTAGCCAAGGGTTTTACACAAAAGCAAAAGATAGACTACTTTGACACTTATGCTCTAATAGCTAGAATTGCTACAATTAGGCTTTTAATTTCACTTGCCTCGATTTATAATTTGATTATACATCAAATAGATGTAAAGATGGCATTTTTAAATGGTGAATTAGAAGAGTAAATATATATGGAACAAACGAAAGGATTTATCATTCTAGGTTAAGAACATAAAGTTTGTAAGCTTATAAAGTCCTTGTATGGACATAAGCAAGCACCAAAACAATGGCTCCAAAAGTTTGATGAAATCATTCTTGCTAATGATTTTAAAATTAATGAGTCAGATAAGTGCATTTATAGCAATTTTGAAAATGAACAAAGGAGTCATAATTTGCTTATATGTAGATGATATGCTAATATTTGGCACTGATTCAAAACAAGCTAAGGAAACAAATAAATTTTTATCAAATAACTTTTCAATAAAAGATATGGGTATAGTGGAAGTTGTTCTAAGAATTAGAATAATTCAGAATGATAATGACATAACCTTGTCACAATCGTATTATATTGAAAAAGTACTTAAAAAGTTTAATCTTTTTAGTTGTATTCTAGTATCTACACCTATGTATTCTCAACTAAAATTAGTATTTAATACTAGTAAAACAATCGATTAATTATAATATGCAATATTAATTGATTGTCTGATGTATGTAATGACTCGTATAAGGCCAGACATAGCATTTGCTATTGAAAAGTTGAGTAAGTACACAAGTAATCCAAGTAACTTGCATTGGTAAATAGTTAAAAGAGTACTTTGATATTTGAAGAAAACAATAAATTATGGATTGTGTTATAGTGAATACCCTTCAGTTATAGAAAGATATTCTTATGCTAGTTGGATTACTAACATGAAAGATCATGCTTCTACAAGTAGGTGGATCTTTATACTTGGCGGAGGTATGATTTTTTAGAGTTTTAAGAAACAAACATACATAACGGATTTCACCATGGTAGCTGAATTTATTGCATTAGCAATAATAGCTAAGGAAGCTAAATGACTAAGAAATTTATTATATGAAGTACCTTTATGGCCTAAACCAATTTCTTTAATTTTTATCCGATATGATAGTGGACCAACTCTATTAAAGGCTTATAACCAAGTATATAATGGAAAGTCTAGACGTATTGGATTAAACATAGCTATATTCGACAATTAATTTTAGATGGAGTGATCACTATAAATTATGTGAGGTTAAGTGAAAACTTGACAAATCCTTTAATCAAAAGTCTTGCTAGAGAATTAATAAAAAGGACCTCAATAGGGATGGGGCTCAAGCTCATGAAGTAAAGTCACCTATAATAGAAACTCGACTCAACGCTTGATATAATGTCAAGTTTTGAGTTCAATGAGATAAAATACATCATTTGTATGTGACTATTAGCATTATAGTGATGTTTAATGCCATATCAAGTAAAGTGCTAGGTACCCATAATGGTAAAGGAAGGATGAGTAATATACTCTTAATAGACTCATAATATAAATATGTTAGAGTGTTATAGTTATGGAGATACTTTTGATGGGAGCTACCTATGTGAATATGGAGTATGGCTGTTTTTAAAAGTTTAAAAGCTTAGCTCTAATAGCACTCATAAAAAGAATATACAGACAAATGGCCATAAATGTGTCATTAGATATTAAGAATTCATTGGGTGTTGAAATCATTTTGTAAAACAAGTTTGGTTAGTCAAATGGAATAACTGATTCAAATCATAGTTTACCATGCGATTTCGATTAACTTTAACTTGTTGTCACTAAGTGAAGGTTCAAATCGAAAGATACCTTCATTTATGAATCGATTTCTAAGGTCATTATAAATTTGCATTATTTTGAAAATGATGGAGGATTGTTAGAGATTTTTAAAATAAAATATGAAAAATAATCCTATTGAAAAAGAAAAAATAAAGACAGATAGTTAAGTTTATTCAAAATAAAGAGATAAGTCTGGTCAAAATGAATAATTTTAACTATTCAAAAAACAAATAGTTTTTAGCTATTCAAAATGTACAGTCATGTCTGTACGAAATAACATTTATCTGTTTATAAAATGCTCATTTGGTTTTTTGAAAACATACAAAAACAATTCTTAAAACTCTCTCTCTTTCTTCCAATTTCATATTTCTTTTATAAAAATTTTGCTGCAGAAAACCTTTATAGAAATTCAGTAATCTTATGATATGTCAGTAATTGTTTTATTATATCCTTAAAGTTTATTGCTTACAATCCTTTTATACACATATTAAGTAAATAATACAGTGAAAACAAATAAAACTTTAAAAAAAGAGATAATGTTACACACCTTAAAACTTTTCCTTAAAATTTCATATTTTCGATGTTTGCTTTTAACAGTTATAGCTATAACCACAAACTAGTTTTGCCAATTCTGATTCACACATTTGTTTGAGACTATGATCAGTTGATTTCTCTATCGAAATTTATTCATATTACAAGCTCACCGTCTTGTAAGGTTCACACTTAAAAAGTAAATATAATAACGTGAGTTATTGGTAAAATATTAAAATTTTAATTTTAAATTTTTAAATATAAAAAATAAATATAATTATAAACAATTATATTACTTTCTTTGAATTTTTAATTTATCTTTAATTTTTTACTTTTTATATTTATTTAATTGAGAAATATGTTATATGTATGAGCTCGTTCAAATCTATAAATTTCAATGGTCAACAAAATTTTTTTATATTTATCTAATTGAAATAGACATTATACGCATGAATTCGTTTAAACCCACAAACTTCGATCATCAATAAAATTTTTATACCAACTTATCCAAACATCAATAAATACTTATTAAGGGTAAAGAGCAAGTAAAGAACTATAAAATATAGGATAGGGATTTCCTTTTGTTTAGCAAAAAGCCGCTGTTCAGCTTAAAGAAGCAGCGATTTGGATTGCGTTGCTTTTCCTTCAATAAAAATTACATTAGAAAGAAAAAATAATAATTAATCCGTAAACAAGAGGACATTTGTTTTTTAGCTTTTAATTTGTAATTAAATTAGACATTTGAACTAACACCTAATGTTCTAATTAATCTGTAAAGAAGAGGACATTTGTTTTTAAGCTTTTAATCTGTAATTAAATTAGATATTTGAACTAACACCTAATGCTCTAAGTCCTTAGCAAAATTTATAGGGATAGCTTTTAATCTGTAATTAAATTAGACATTTGCACTAACACCTAATGTTCTGAGCAAAATTTATAGAGATAGGTCAACTTACACTAAAAAAATTATATATATTTTATATTTTTTAATAATTAATTTTAATAGATTTAAGGAACGAGATTAATTTTTTTTATTTTTCTTTCATCTTTTTGATCTATTAAAATTAATAATTAAAAAAATAAAAAAATTTATTATTAAATATTAAAAATTTATCTAAATAAATTCATTATATTTAAAATTATATGATTTTTTTTGTCAGATACCATACCTTAATAACCGCCATTAAGATATCAGTTAGATAAACCCTATATTTTGAAATCGAAATTTCTGAAAAAAGATAGGAATTTAAGGAGTAGACAAAGTTTTGGATAACATCTCCAAATTCATTGATTTGGCTTAATTTTTGTCTTTGAATTTTTCTTAATAACGTATCCAATTGGAATTATAATTCTATGCTTTGACTGATCGGTCGACCTCTATCAGCGCCGCTTAGATTCAATCGGAGACAAAAAAGGTGTATGAATTCTATTGAATGAAATCTAACCCCCAAATAGGCCATGCCATGTTCATGAATCAAATCAAAAAGTTGGGGATTGTTATGTTTTTACTCAAAAAAATACTAAACAACTATGGGCCCTACGAAACGACGGTGCTTAAATCATCAGCCGTGCTGGCAGGCTGGCAGCAATGGAATTCCCGTTATATGTGATTGTTACAGTCCCATCATTGAACTAAAATTCTAACAAGACATACATTCCATATAGCAATAGTCGTAGGAAATTTGAACACCTTTTAGTTTTATGTTTTGTACCAAACCTCTTTAGTTTTTAGTTTTACCCCGTTTTGCAATTTAAATGGAATGTTTTAACAAAGGAAAATTTTGTAGTTTTTTTTTTTTTATCTATACGCAATAATATTGGGTGATAAGGGAACACCATTCTGATTGAGCCACATGGAGACGCATGTATGATTTGGTATTAAAAAAAAAAAAACGTTTAATTCCTCACAAGTTTTTTGTCTGATCTGCCTGTCATTAAGGCCTGAGCACATTCATGTGATTGTGAGGTCACCTCTCTCTGATTCTATAAAACGACTTAATTCTCTTTTGAGTTTTCAAGTTCTGATGATTTTTTTTCTTTCTTTCTTTGAAACACAACAGAAATTAACGTATACCAGGGTGTTCTAGTTCTGGAATTAAAAAGAAGAGTTGTTTGTTTCTTCACTTCTTGGTTTGTGGAGGTGTCACGAGTGCGTCAGCTTTTGCCGGTCTTTGTTGTTGTTGTTGTTGTTGTTGTTGTTGTTGTTTCTGAAAAGCGGCTTTAATCTCGAATTTTGCCATGGCTACCAGAGGATTCGTTTTATATCTGCTGTCAGGTTTCTCAGTAGCCATTGTTTCCGTACTGTTCATCAACAAGAACAACAACGTGGACCATAATTCAACTCTCTTGAACTCTCCATATTTATCCAGCGCTGATAAAGTTTGGCCTGTAAGTATTTTTCTTTGACTCTTGAATCTCTATTTATTTTCAGGCTTTCAAAGGTGTTGATTTGCTTCATGGGTTTTTCTTTTATTATTATTATTATTTTTTGGTTTCAGGAATTGGAGTTGAATTGGAGGCTTGTACTGGCAACGGTGATAGGATTTCTGGGATCAGCATGTGGAACGGTGGGTGGGGTTGGTGGGGGAGGCATTTTTGTTCCAATGCTTACTTTGATTGTTGGATTTGATACCAAATCTGCTGCTGCTATTTCAAAATGTAATATTTTCGTTCTGAGTGTATTCTTTTTCTGTAATCTTCTTGCTGTCAATGGAATAATGAATTTTAAACAGATCAGAAGAGCAAAAATAAAAAAAAATGAGGGAAATTGTTTTTGTTCAGTGATTAATCTCTGTTCATTGGGCCAAGCAGGTGAAGTAATAAAAAAGTTGACCAAAATTGGTTCAATCAACTGCAGATTGATTACTGAATAAAAAATAATAAAAAAAAAACAAACATGTGCATTTAACTGTTTTTTTTTCTAACATCAGATTTTTATGAGTGTGCTCAGGCATGATAATGGGAGCATCAACATCATCAGTTTGGTATAATCTTCGAGTGCCACATCCAACTAAGGAAGTGCCCATAATTGACTATGATCTGGCTCTTCTCTTCCAGCCCATGTTGATGCTTGGCATCACTGTTGGAGTTTCCTTGAGCGTCGTTTTTCCTTATTGGCTCATTACAGTCCTCATCATCATACTCTTCATAGGTTTGCGACTTTGTTCAACGATCCAATTTGCCCTCCTTATTGCTGATCGTTGTTGTTCTGCTTCTTGATTATCGTTGTTCACATTGAAGTGTTCTGTCTTGTTGTTTTTCTTCCAATGAGTAGGTACCTCCTCAAGGTCTTGCTATAAGGGAATTGCAATGTGGAAGGAAGAGACTGTTTTAAAGGTACATTTCATTTATTTTACAAAAAGAAATTATCATCATTTTAACTTTATTTTTGTTTTAATTTGTTAAAATTGCAGAGAGAACTCACCAGGAATCAAGAAACTCTAGTTAATTCCAGGGGCGAACGTAAGATAAATTATATGTTCATTATGTATTTATCTTTAGACAGATTTGAAAATAATTCACTTTTTCCTAACGTTTGAATTTTGCAGTCCTGATAGATACAGAGTACGACCCGTTGGTTCCAAGAGAGGAGAAATCAGAACTGGTAAGTGAATCAGGCCATTTGCAATTTGTTTAATTTTCTGTAATTATATGATTTTGATACTATTTCATGCCTCAAGATAAGAGAAACTGAATCGACTTCCTTTATATTCCAGCAAATTTTATGTTTCAACCTAAGGTGGAAAAGGCTTTTGGTACTGGCAACAGTTTGGGTCCTTTTCACACTTATTCAAGTCATCAAGGCAAATAACAGCTTATGTCTACTTCCACTTTGTCTGTCTATTTCAATGGCATAATAGTGTTCATGATTTATGTTACCATTTTTGCAGAATGATTTGGTTGCATGTAGCACTTTGTACTGGGTGCTGTTCGGCTTTCAGGTAAACCTGGTTTGATGATGAAACATTATAAATTTATGCTTTCTTTATTAAATGCTTGGAACAATTTTTTGTTCATATTTCAGTTTCCCGTAGCAGTATTGGTTTTTGGATATGAAGCAACCAAATTGTACAAAGAACACAAGAAGAGAATGAGCACAGGGAACACTGAAGCAATTTGTGAAGCTTCAATTCAATGGAGTCCTCTGAACATTGCATTTTGTGCACTCTGTGGCATCTTGGGAGGCACCGTTGGGGGTTTGCTTGGTTCTGGTGGAGGATTCATTTTGGGTCCTCTCCTCCTGGAATTTGGTGTCATTCCACAGGTAAGTGGGTTAAACATCAACGTCGTCATTCTATAAATGTCATTTTCCTGTCAACCAAATCAGCCAAGCCTTAACTATTTTGCCATAACTATTTGACAAAATCCTTAAAGAGTACTGTGAAGCAAAGTCATGAATTGTTCTGAAAATATAACCTGTCCTGCTTTTAATTAACAGGTCGCTAGTGCAACAGCAACATTTGTAATGATGTTCTCTTCATCCTTATCGGTAGTGGAATTCTATTTGCTCAAGAGGTTCCCTATCTTCTATGGTAAGTCAGTTATTATCCCCCTATTTTCTTTAGCAGAACACCTTTCGCAAAATATTGAGTATTTTTGCATAATGTGATCATATTTTTCCATTTTTCAGCGTTGTACTTGATGGGGGTTTCCATTTTGGCTGGCTTCTGGGGACAGTATTTTGTAAGAAAAGTAGTATCAATCCTGAAAAGAGCTTCAATTATTGTATTCATTCTCTCTGGTGTCATATTTGCAAGTGCTCTTACAATGGGTATGAGCTTATTATAAGAAAATTATTCTACATTTTTTATGCTATTCCACTTTAATTTGCTGTCAAAACTCGAAATAGATAACTGATATTCTTTTCTTGATGTCTTTAACAGGAGTCGTTGGCATTGAGACAAGCATTCAGATGATACACAACCATGAGTTCATGGGATTTTTAGATTTTTGCAGCAGTCAATGATCATTGACAAAAATTTCAGAAGATTGAATAAGTGATGTTGTGAGAATAGAAAATTTTGGAAGGAAAGCAAGAAAGCACTAGAGGAAATTGGCAAGGAAAATGTTGAGATTTAATAAACTATATTAGATTTTGGCCAACACCTTGTTGACCTGCCAAAATTTAGTGTCCTGTAAGAATAAATATCTCTGTCAAGTTTGGTTTGACTGTTAGCTGCTGGCTAACACCACCAACTCCATACATTCATCCGTCTGTAAAACTGTCTGTCTGTCTGCAGACTTGTCTAGTCTGTGAGTGTTAGTGTCACGGGCTTCGGTCTTACGCGGGTGCTCGGGTCCTGATCTAGATGGTGATCAAGCGAGAGGTGACATTAGCTCCTGGCTAACACACCCTTCATTTATCATCCGTTACTTTCAGCTGTAGCATTTTAAAATTCCTTATTGTGTAATTGCGTATTTATTTAAGGTCCTCAATAAAGAAAGGAGACATTATACCAGTTCCCTTTAGATCAGTACAACCATGGAAATTCAGATATGGAAGAATAAATTTTGTGTAAGAAAAAAAGAGTTATACGAGTTACATGATTGATAATAGAAAAATAACGAGGAAACGAAACAAAGAAAAGTATTACATTATTATCCATTCCATCATTGAATCTAAACGACTCATAGTAGGACAAGGCAAAGTCATTGTAATGCTTTCATCCTCTAAGCTGAACATGTACATGCGTCTATCAGCAGGCTCAATAAAGTAGATAACATTTGGTTCAACCCCATATTCTGCTGCAACACAAGAAGTGCCACGGTGAGACTGGTAAGAAACAAAAATAGCTACTTCACCAATGCTTCTCACTCTTGTCCACTCCTTTCTCGAAAAATCCATCCGAAAAACTATAAATCCGAAAACTTCATTCATAAAACCAGAATACCTCTTCTCTACAAGCAATAAGTCATCGCAAGATTCAACAAAATAGATCGAATAGCAATAAATTTCCGGAGCTGACGGAAAAATATGACGCTCCATCATCAAATGTGTAACCTGAATCTGCGAACAAACGAAATCAATTCTGGCTAAGGCGTTAATGTTTAGCAGACAGTAAACTTATCCTCGGTGCACTGTAAAAAATTTCCAATAGACATCAAGTTCATGTCCTAGTTCTTGCTTTGCAAATTCATCATCCCCAGGTTTGCAAATTAAAAGAAACCTACTTGAAGTATCGAAGAATACTACTCGGCGATCATGACCGCTTGGTGGTGAAGTCAAAAAGCACCATTCATGTTTGGATTCTACAGATGGGACCTTAACAATGTTATTTGAGTCAAGGTGAAAGAGGCAACAATCGTTTGAATCGACATCTTTTAATGCCAACCATCCATACGAACACGTGCAAATAATTGTGTTGCTCATCTGCGGTATCAATTTTGTGTTGCATTGCTTCGTTGATACATCATAGAAAGTCCGCCACTCTTTATCTTTTCCACGGATAGCAAGCAATGAACGTGCAGGGAGAACCTGTTGGTTTTACTCCTTGGATGCTTCCATAGCTTCAGTAAAAAAAATAAAACAAATCAACAAACAAATTAATTCTACAAATAATATAAGTTTAAAAAAGAAGCCCAAAGCAAAAATAGCCTCTAACCTGTTGTTTCTGGGGGCGTTGGAAATTCTTAATTGATCCCTAGGCCAAGTTGTTTGTTATATCGATTATTTAACATTGGAATACAAAGCGAGCTAACTCTCAACTCTTTATATAACATTTTAATTAGAAGGAAAAGCTGTAATCCTGGTAGGACAAGGAAAACCAAATCCTTGCAGGGAAAGCAACGGGGCCTTGAATGCTTCCAAGCCCCACATCTATATATATATATTGATCTCTAGGCAAAGTTGTCTGTTATATCGATTATTTAACATTGGAATACAAAGCGAGCTAACTCTCAACTCTTTATATAACTTTTTAATTAGAAGGAAAAGCTGTAATCCTGGTAGGACAAGGAAAACCAAATCCTTGCAGGGAAAGCAACGAGGCCTTGAATGCTTCCAAGCCCCACATCTATCTATCTATATATATATTTATATATATTGATCTCTAGGCAAAGTTGTTTGTTATATCGATTATTTAACATTGGAATACGAAGCAAGCTAACTCTCCACTCTTTATGTAACTTTTTAATTAGAAGGAAAAGCTGTAATCCTGGTAGGACAAGGAAGACCAAATCCTTGCAGGGAAAGCAACGGGGCCTTGAATGCTTCCAATTCCCACATCTATCTATCTATCTATCTATCTATCTATCTATCTATCTATCTATCTATCTATCTATCTATATATATATATACACCCCTCCCGAGGAACTTAACCAGACGCCTCCCAAAAGTTCCATGTACATTGCTATTTGCCTGGCCTCGTTGATGTGCATCTAACCTTAAGTTAAAGTCGAATTCAGGTATATTAAAAGTCTTTTTCAATTCTTCTAGCTAGGCTTTAATTTGTTGCAATATTCTTGGGGTTTGTATTCTTGCTTGTTTTTATTCCAGATCAGAGTCTTCAACTTTATTACTTTTATAATTGTTTATTCTTGCAATTAAATTGATATTAAGAATCAATCCATCCTAGAAAATAAAATTGAATAATCCAACCTTTAGCTTCTATAAATTCCTGACTATGAGAGGTAATTTAATGCTATATATATATCTACTTGTATGTAGCATGTATGACAATTGACAAGCAATTAGATTTTTAATTATATTATAATAAGGAGTTTGTAATTGTGAATACATAAATAGCTTATAACGTCCATTTTAATTAGAAGTTTATATCCATTCATGTATTTTAAGGTTTTTTTTACATTAATTTGTTTTCTTTTTAATTAATAATATTTTGTTGTTCTTCCAAACCGTTATAAAAAATTTGTTATGTATTCTGTGCTTTTGCAGGATTTTTAAACAAGCAATTACTCTTAAAAAAAGTTTGTATGCAAGTAAGACAAATTAATATTGTACGTACGTAGATATATGTAAATGGCAGAAACAATTGTCAAGGTATACTCGAAGATTCAGAGGACGATGGAAAGGGAAAGGAATCATGGTCTGGCTTTTACCAGAGCTTTTGCATTTGGTATCATCACACCTATTTGCTGGGGATCTTGCCATCTTCGGAGCCATATGCAAGTCATGGCACTCAATCAATGTAACTAGACCTCCGCCGCCGCACAATTCCCAACATAATTATCCTCGCTCTCCATATTTGCTGTCCTTACTGGATAATGGTACTTGTAGATTCTTCCATCCTCAGTACAAGGGAATCTATCAAGTACATATTCTGGAGTTATTAGGCGCGCGCATTCGATTCTCAAAATATGGTTGGTTGCTTTTAACTCGAGATGATTTCAGTGTTCTATTCTTCAATCCCTTCACAAGGGAAAAGATAGAACTTCCCCATTATCCCCATGATGATGGTGCATTCGCAACAATGTATTTTTCCTTACCTCCAACTTCCTCAAGTTGGTTTGTCATTGGAATTTATCAAAACGGTCCATGTTTTGGCATTCTCAATTGTGGCGAAGACAGTTGGACACTTAATGAATTGTACACAACTGAGACGTTCTTTTTATCTAGTTGTCCTCCCGTCTTATACGAGGGACAATATTATTATATGGGACGTCAAGGAGAGGTAATGGCATTTGATATATACGACACTGAAAGTGAGTGGACAGTTCTTCCAAAAATTCATCATAGATCTAACTTAATTGGTTCACGTGACGAAGAATGCAAAACTTATGCCATTAGTCGAGGTTTCATGCAGAAAATGATGGCGAATTGATAGTTGTCTTTGTGTCATCCGAAGAAGAGAAACATGTCTACATTAAGAATCTTACTACATGGAAATTGAGGCGTAAAAATGAAAAGTTGATTGATGAAATGATTTATGTAAGACCCGGAGCATCCTTTTTAGAAGCGGTTGAAGTGAGAGGAATGAACAATAAAGTATATTTTCCAAGAGTCGAAGAAAAATAGTTGTGTATTCTACTCTCTTGCTAATTCAAGGTACTCTTCCTTTCAAGGTAATTAATCAAGGGGGATTCCCTCCAACACAAAGTACCTATGCAACTCTACTTGGATCTTCCCCAGCTTCAAATTGCTGAAGAGTTAGAATATTTGCTGGTAGAAGATGTTCTTAATTAACCTGTTTTATCAAGAGAATGGTAATAAGAATCTATTCTCATAGGTTTAGATATTTGTAATCGTATTAGTGCATGCGAAAGGGATTACATAGTGTGCTTTATTGCTTGGGCAGCATCGACATGTCTGTGCTCTCTCGTTTTAACCGATCAATGTGATCTTTTTCCGTTTTGTTGATTCATATTTATCCTAAATACAATCACTTATAAGATTCATCTAGGCGAGTGATTGGTGTGTATCAAAATTTAACTTTTTTGGGTATTGATCTATTTTAAAATTAAGCACAACTACACAAGCTCTTCAATTAAACAGTCCCTCATTAACATCAACTTTTTTTTTTTTTTGTTCTGCTTTAACTTTTGTATTGCATAAAATAATCAATTTTGTAGAATAAAATTTTATTTTTAAATTAATTTCAATTATTTATATAATTACTTTTAAAAAGTTATTAATTTCAAGTTACGAACCTGTTTTATACTTTATATATATGCAATAAAATTTACTTGGGCTTGTCATCTCTATGAAGTCAAATTTCTATTAGAAAAAGTTGTCACTGTTATTTGTTTTTTTTTTTTTTTTTGAGCTGTATATTTTTCTTTCTACACTTTTTTCTTCATTATACATCCACTTTCTTTTAGCAATGAAATTATAAGATCTATATTGTCTATCTATTTCCATTCCTTACATTGCAATCATTTATATTGCTTTTATTTTCTTTTCTTGTATTTTTCTTTTTTTAATTTAATGGCAACGGACCTAGAGAATTTATAAAAAAAATTATTTTATCACAATCTCTAATAAATTCGAATTCAAGTAATAAATAAATATATATATATTTTATATATACTCTTTACACTTAAGACAACCATCTTATGGATATCTTTTTATTTTTCTAAAACTAAAAAGAAGCAACTTTGGCAGGGTTTAGGACGGGGATTAGTATACAGCTAGAGGCATGCAAAATTGAGTTCAATATCCCCCCATGGTATTGTGGTAGTGAGTTCATGCTATGAATTGCTAGCTGGAAATTTGGTGAGAACTAACAACTTACAATAATATATAGGAATTCAAGTCATATAATTAGTGACATGCCATTACCAACAAAATAATAAAGTAAAATATTGTAGTAGCTATTACACATAAATTGTAATGTAACAACAACATAATATGTTAAAGTGTTAACTCTTAATTTTAATAATCAATTCAAACATTGAGTATCTCGATCTTCAAGTATGAATAAATTCCTTGTTCAATAGGATAATTCTATTTAAAAAGTATGAACCCAAAAAGTTGGAACGAAATCAAGTTAGCTTAATTATTGTGTAATGTTATTTTTTTTTTTATATGATACCTAAAATAAAATTTCATTTTTATGGAAAATCATCAACTGCATATGTGTTAGCTATTGTGTACTCTTCCTTTCAAGGTAATTATTCAATGGGATTCAGTCCAACACAAAGTAACCATGCAACTCTACTTGGATCTACCCCAGCTTTATATTGCTGTAAGAGTTAGAATATTTGCTGCTAGAAAATGTTCATAATTAACCTGTTTTATCAAAAGAATGATACTAAGAATCAACAGCTTGGCTGTTTCAAACCCATATAAGTCGATCAATATATTCTCCTTTGTTTTTAATTTAATACTAGCTATTTTTAGTTTGAGTTTCATGCTTACTAGTTATATAATTAGATTTTGTCCATTCTCACAGGTCTAGATATATGTTATAGTATTAGTGAAAGGGACTATACTTGCGTGCTTCATTGATTAGGGGCATCAACATGTCAGTACTCTGTTATTTTAACAGATTAATAATGTAATTTTTTTCCGTTTAGTTGATTCATATATACGTATCCAAATTACATTCACTTATAACATTCACGTGGACGGGCCGATTAGTGTGTTTCAAACTTGACTTTTTTGGTATTGATGTATTTTTAAATTAAACACAAGTGCCCAAGCTGTCCAATTAAACAGTCCCTGGTTAACATTAACTTCTATTTTGTCGATTCTGCTTTAGCTTTTGTCTCGCATCAAATAATCAATTCTGATGAGTAAAGTTGTTTTGATAGTTAAAGACATGCAAAATGTGAAAAATGCAAGCATGCATTATATAAGCAACCTGTCATTAAAAAATTATATTATGAACATCTACTTATTTCAAAAATTATAAATTGAAAAATCTGTATAATAATATAATAAGGGTTTGTTAATCAAGTAGCTATAATTAATGTTTTGAATGATAAAAAGATTTTTGTTTAATTTAAATCATGATAAAAGTCTATATAAATTGAAAGACATGTATAAGTCTAAATTTTTAAAATATTCTAAAAATTTTGATAATTGGAAGGACTAGACCAAATGTAGTTACATAAATATAATATTACCCACTATCTGAGTGCATAGCAAATTCATCTTGATTTTCCGATGCATATAATATATAAATATATATGAATGTAATTTCAGTTATATCTTATAAAAAAAAGTTTCGAAAGAATTGAATGTCCCATCAGGCACAAAACTCGTATATGCAGAAAAACTGAAGGGGTAGGCTTCTAGAAACTTAGGTGAGAGTCCTACCTAGAAGTAGTAGTTGCTGCCCTAGAAGATTTCGAAGCAGACTGGAGATCTTTGGCAGAATCTGCACTGATAGCAATATTCCCAATTCCAACCTCCATTGCCTCCCTGTCATCCATCTCTTTCTTATTTTTTACAGAAATATGAGTATCCGTAACTTGGCTTTGTGATGAAGACCCTGACGGCTCTAAAAGTCGGGGGCCTGCATTGATCCAAGGATGAAGAAGGCACTGAGCAGCACTGGGACGCTTCTCAGGTACAAAATCAAGGATCGGAACCAGGAAGTCGGTCATGTCATTTGCATTTTGCTCACTGAATTCATACTTCTCAACAAGGACCTTATTCAAGGGCCAGAAACGTAACCGACGGCTGAAATCACATTGATCGACTTGTACGCAACTAAGGCAATCAAGCATATTCCGTACAAGTATTAAAACAGGATCTGAAATCAAACTTCTATTAGGTAGAAATGAGAATTTCACCTGCAGCGCATCATCTACAAGCCATCATCAAACTAGTGGTCGAACCGCATTGTTACATTCAAAATATATTTTGATAGTAGCTGTTCATAACTGAATTCAGAAATCCTACACCAACTTTCATTCCATTATTTTAAGTTTTCAGTTCAAACCTTCTCAATAGCACTTTTAGAAGAATTTTAATGTAAATCAAAATAACATTTTCCCTTAAGGTCCATGCTTTTCATTAGGCATATTCCCTTAACAATTCAAAAGACACAAAGCTTAAGTTTAACGGTCAAAAAATAGCTCAGTTGTCCTCCTATAATGGAACTCAGACCTGAAATTGAAATAGAAAAAAATGTTGAACCAACTTAAGAACATTTGTGCTTCACAATAAATTAAACTAGTCTTTAGCGAAATAAAACAAAAACAGACAGCACCTAATATGCCAAGCACCCTTATGCCATATGTCGCATTAGCAGACAGAACATGAGAAAACTCTTCAATGCTGCCAAAATATATACACACACACCTATATCTATATGCACACATAAGTTCATCTATGCACAAAGCATATACACAATACAAATATTCCTAAATACCAAAAATTATTATTAACATAATGCAAAATGTGATGGCACACTCTAGCGATTTAAGACCAATTAAAGGTAATCCACATATGCTATTCAACCATTCAGCATTTTCAGCTGCAAGTGAGCACTTTCAAACTCAAACTTGAAAAAATTGCATTCAGCAGTTACGACTCTGACAGTTGCATGAGAGTATGACCCTTTCCAGCACATAAAAACCAAAAAAGAAAAAAAAAACCTTCGATAAAGAAGCACATAAGTAATCCAAAGTAATGAACACAATAGATATAGAAGCACTCCTCTCCAATCATATTGGTCAAAAACGATATACTCGCATAATCATAAGCTTGTCAATATTATTCTTCTGAAATTGAGTTCAGCTGCCAGAAAAGGGAAGAAAAAAAGCATGGCATGACAGATCAATAAGATTCCTTAGTGGGAATGACCAAATCTTAACTTTTAAAAGGTAACTGCTGTCAGAAAAATGACTGTCCATTGATCATTCAACTTTTGTTCTCAAACATAGATAACTTCACCTTTTGTTCAGCTATCATTTCCAAGTAAAATAATAATAAATGCATATAATTTAAGGTTACAACAAAGTGGAAATGAATACCAAAATTCAAAGTATTTTTGGATCAAAGAAGTGGAGAAAATTTAAGTGAAATGACTAACTGAAATTATAAGTGAATAGACAAGATGAGAGATTTTCTGCCATTGCACTTTTTAAATCTCTCCAAAAGAGAAGAAACAAAATTTCAGTTTACCACACCTATTGTTTTCACTCTTTACATTTCTCATCCTTCTTTCACAAAACAAATAGCCTAACAGAGTCTTACCATGTCCACTTAACAAACAAATTTCAGCATTTCAGCTGGGGAACCAAATCAAAGGAATGTGATTATCATATTAAAGATATGTAAAATGCAAAATGACTCCAAGGAAAACCCGTTTAACTAGAAGCTCAATATAATGCAAAGGAAAAGCACACTTTTGTCGCTATTTATAGCAACTCTTCTTTTTCAGATTCACTGAGTATTTTCTCCTTTTTTTTCCTTTCCAAAAACAAGGAAATTAATTATTTTAACTTTAAGAGTGTATCCCCAATGCTACATCTTGAATGAACTTTAATCAAGAGAGATTGAAAAACTTAAAAACAAACACATGTATCATATGTGGTGCAAAAAACATAAAACAGATAAAAGCATTGTTAATAAAATACCTCATCTCTGTCAGATTTATCACCGCTGTGAGGATCAAAGAGTACATCACCCGTTGCAAGCTCAAAACAAATGCAAGCAAATGACCAAAGGTCTGCTGATGTAGAATAGTTAGATCCCAGGATCACCTCAGGACACCTATACTGTCCTGTCTGAATATCATTTGTAAACTGTTTAAATGTCCAACATGCATTCCCAAAGTCAACTAATTTGCACTTTAAGTCAACTGATGCCAACGGTTTCCGCCTTGTGGAGCGGCCTCCTCTCCTATTGCCTTGACTTGCTTGATCAGTAGCCTTTGTACCATCAGCATCGGACAATCTATTGGCATTGCCAGAACTAGTGGGACGTTCTTCAACAGAATCCACATTTGTTTTTTCACTTGAAGATGACTCCGCTGCACCAGACGTTTCAGGATCTACATCAGCTTCTGCAGAAACTTCCTTGTCCACACACCCTTGAGCTGCTCGCTTAGCTTTTCTTCTAATCTTTTTCTTCTGATTTCTACTCAAATCCCCATTTGTAGACTTTAAAGAGTCCAGCACTGTCTTGTCCTTACAATTGGGAAGGATGATAGGGGTGCCTGACTTTCTCGGGTCCTTAGATGGATCTATCATTGACAACAGTAAAATATTTTCTGGCTTCAGATCAGTGTGTATAATGGAAAGCTCCCGATGCAAGTAATCCAAACCCACTAGAACATGGAAACATATCTCCTTCACCATATGAATAGGCATGCCACGATAATCAGAGTACTTGATGAGTGTCAAAAGATTATCCCCCAAGTACTCAAACACCATACAAACATGCTGTCCATTCGCACCTAAATGATTAAAATGATCTAAAAGCTTCACTACACATTTTTTATCCTCTTTATCCCCATCTGCAATCTGTTGTAAGATCGTTATCTCATCCATTGCTGCCTCAGTATAATGCTGCGCACTTTTTTGTACTTTCAAAGCAACATAACGCTGTAGTTTAAAAACAAATTATTAAAATCTAACATAAAGAAAAGCAATTTAACTAAATCAAAGAGAATAATTTACATTTCCTAATGATTTTTAGCTGTTTAATTGTCAAATTGATCAAGCAAACAAATGCATTACTTTTAAACTTCTGATTCATGAATGATTCTAATTTGTTCTTCATAGTCCTGCATAATTTCTCTCCTATATTTTCTAGGCAATAAATCTAACACAATATTAATCACAAATAAAATGAAATTTTTGCTTTTTTATATAATTCGTCTTCAATTACAGGATCGAAAAACAGATTAATCAGATATTACTGAAAGAAACAAAAGAATTAAGCTAAAAAGCAACAAGCTAACTTCTCGCGTAAACTACACAGAATCACAGATTTACTTAATACGACGGCGTAATTAAGCTGATCAACTAGGGAAACGGAGTAAGATAAAGCTAGAGAGTTTGAGAGAGGTGTACAGAGAAATGAGTATCCCAAGCGAGCCAAACGGTGGAGAAATGGCCCCAACCGAGCTTGCTTTGGACAACGTAACGTCCGTTCTTGAAAGTGTCTCCGATTCTAACGGCGTGATAACCGCCCCGCCGGTAATCTTCCGTCCCTTCGTCTTCCGACGTGTAATCCCCGCTCTCACTTCCGCTCCACTCTTCTTCCTCCTCATCCGCCATTCCCTTCTCTTCCAAATCTAAAAAATTAATTAATAATTTTTTTAACAAAAAAATCAACAAATTTTCTATCGGATTCAACTGGATCAGTAGAACCTGCAGCTACTGTTATGACAGATAAAGGAATACTTTATGTTTAGATTGAAGGAAAATTAATTTAAAATAAAATTAAAAAGGAAAAAGGCTTCTGTTTTTTAGGTTTTATTTTTTTAATACGTGGCGTGAAAAATGGGCGGGATCCTGTGTGATGATGGTATTGGTTCAATGAGGTGTCATCACATCTCAGAAAATCCTGTTTTCTTTTTATTTTATTTTTTTTTTTTGCTTATTTTTACCTGATCAAAGATAATATGCTAAAATTTTATTAAAAAATAATTTTTCATAATTCAAAAATTTTTAAATAAATAAATTTGTTTGAATAGACTGAAGATTCAAAAAAATATTTGGATAAGATCGAGCATGTTGAATGTTACATGTTTGAATCAAATTGATTAAAAAAAAGGTTTTTTTTTAAATGATAAGGTAAATCAAATATTTTTTTATTAAACACTTAAAAAATAAAACATTGTTATTAGATTTGGGCTTGATCCATGTACACTTGGCCCCATATTTTTATGGGTCAACCTAATGGCCTAAAGCTGTCTGAAATTCTCCAGTTCGTGGCCTGTTCAGCTATGGTAATTTGGTAATTTTAAAACAACATAAGGGCTGTTTATTTGAAAACCTCGATATACATAGCAACGTCGCTAGGGTTTCTAGGAATCAAAGGAACGCAGCAACAGCAGCAGCGGCAGCCATGGTTCTCAAGTAAGCTTCTTCTCTCTTCCTCTTATTTTTTCTTCAAAACTGTTCGTTCATCACAATTTAATGATCTGATCTTGAAAAAGATTTCTTTCATTTGGGAAAAAAAATCGTTTACAGCCAGATCTGCTTTTGATTTTATATTTCAGCCTGCTTGAAATTGAGTGTTGATTTTATTTTCTTTGATATTAGTTAAAACATTAAGCGACGAATTAAACTCTCAGATTTGTGTTAAAATTTCGTTGTTGAATTATTACAATATTAATCGGTTTATTTTGACATGCATTTGAGTAGTTTATTGAAGCCAAAAGTTTTGAATTAATGAAATAAAATAGAATATACTGGCTGCTAAAATTTGATGGAAAAAGGAATATAATTAGTCTCTAGTTATGAGGTGGAAATGGAAAAATTAGTTTAGTTTTGGCATCTAGATTTTGGCAATCAAGAGCTAATGTCATTTTGAAAGTGCTAGTGTATGGGTCAATTTTACGTAATGGTGATAGTCGTTTGATTTAGTTAATTATGTGATAATCAAGTGAATGATTTGGTTCGCGTATAGGGATACTTTAGATTAATTTTTAAATTACCTTGCTGATATTGTTATTATCTATTGGCTTTCTTGCATTATTCCAAAAGATTTTGAATATTATCTTCCAAACCCAGCACTAAACTGTGTGATGTCGACATGTTAGGACGGAGCTTTGCCGATTTAGTGGTGCCAAGATATACCCAGGGAAAGGAATCAGATTTGTTCGTTCTGATTCTCAGGTAAATTTCCATCGAGTTCTGGTTTGAAGTGGTTAATATTATATTCTTGCACTGGTAATAAACAGTCTTCTTCATGAATTCTTTTAGGTCTTCCTCTTTTCCAATTCAAAATGCAAGAGGTACTTCCACAACCGTCTGAAGCCATCAAAACTTACATGGACAGCCATGTATAGGAAGCAACATAAGAAGGTGAGTGTCAGCATTGCAAACCCAATTTTATTCCGAAAATTTCTTTTTTTAAACTTTGTTTACCTCCACCATTTGAAGTACTTATATTTAGGTTGTGACTTGTGAGCAAAGATCATGTTTGTATGGTAATCAGATTTTATTACTACATATTAATGTCAATATGAAATGAATAAAAATTGAACAAGCTTGGGTGTCTCATTTCCCTTTATCATCTATGTGATAAAAGTTGGAACAAGATAGCTTGATTTTTATGATTGGATTGAAAGCAAAATATTTTATCGTTTCCATGACATGTCCCTTATTTATTTCCAAGTTGTTTACATTTATTTAGGACATTGCCCAAGAGGCTGTGAAGAAGAGGAGACGAACTACTAAGAAGCCTTACTCCAGATCCATTGTTGGTGCCACCTTAGAGGTTATCCAGAAGAAGAGGAGTGAGAAACCTGAAGTTCGTGATGCTGCTAGGGAAGCTGCTCTCCGGTGTGTGGTTTTTCATTCTACTTATCAGTTTCATCCGTTCCTTGTCATTGCTGATTTTCACATGTATTATGCTCTGTGTTTATGGAAATACTCCCTGTTTATCTATTGTGCAGAGAAATCAAGGAGAGAATCAAGAAAACTAAGGATGAAAAGAAGGCAAAGAAAGCAGAAGTAGCAGCAAAGCAACAGAAGACACAGGGCAAGGGTAACATTCCAAAGGGTTCTGCACCAAAAGGTCCCAAGCTTGGTGGTGGTGGTGGAAAGCGCTGAGTTTCTAGGTTATTATCTGTTTTTCCCTAGCCAGAGAAATAGCTAGTGTGTTCATTTTGAAGTCATTGTATGGACTTAATGGCCTTGGCGGCCATGTTGTTTTTGCATTTATGCTTATCCTAATACCATGAACTCACTGTTAAAGTTGAGTGATCGAGTAATTTTATGGATTTTGACTTTGTTTTTTTAACCTACATGCCTGGAATTTGACGAAGTGTAGAATGCTGGTGAACAGCCCTCTTTTAGTACTCAAGCCTGAAGCAAAATTTGCTGCTTCCGTTGTAATTTTCTGATGTTTAAAATGTTTTTTTTTAATCTTCCATGCTCCATGATGGTTAAGATTCGAGGCTGTTTTGGTACATGCAATTGTCACGGACTTAAGGAAGAGTCTTGAATCTTATATCGAACATAATAGAAGAGTCATTGAGGTATAAAAGTATTTACATCATTTTTGTCTTGTGATATTTTTTGTAAGACAAAATCTGAGGTCAAGGGGTCAGAGCGGATAATATTTCATAAGGGTGTGAATCGTCACGAAAAGGTTGATCTGAGATGTCGGATGAGTGAATGTTCGGATTTCGGAATCGTGTGAGTTCGAAGCTTAAGTCTCGACTCGTAACACAATGTAGAGTCGAAATTAGGATTGGCTAGCATCTTAGGTAGTTAGCCTTTGTTTGGATGGGGCGTGCTGTTAGCTTTTCGGAAAGTTATTTATATTTGATCTGGAGATGAATCGGAACTGTGTTTTCGATTATTGGATGATTTGGAGTGTGTTGCGTTGCATAATGTAATTGTTCGGGCAAATAACAAAGTTTTATAATAAGGAAGTTGAATACTTCCTACTATTTTAACTTAGTAATGGCCCTATCATTCCATGACATCTTTTAAATCCTTTCAGGCCATAGCGTAGTCATTTATTTTTCTTTCCCCAAACATCTAATAAAATATCTGTTATCCTACAATGGTCAATCATTTGAACTGTGGTGCCAATGCCACATCACTTTAATATTATTGCTACCAATAACAATGACGTATCATTGGTTTTGTTTGATTGCCTTATCATTACTTTCCCAAAAGGTTTTTTGGTTCTAGACTTTTTACCGGATTGTTAACTTGGGCAGGTTAAAAGGGTGGCCCGTTGCCCAAATATTTAATCATATGGATAGTGGTGCCAAATGGACTTTGAATTGGATTATTTGGGATTTGTTTCATTTGAAGTTGGGTCTTGATCATGTTTTTGTTGGGGCTAGCCATATTTTTTAGGTTTTATGGAAAATATAATTATTTCAAACTTTTCAAATTTGTGTAGAGTTTAAATTCAAGTTTTTCAAGTTCAAATTGTTAAAGGTTGAGTTTTTGACATTTTTTTATCCAATCAGAGTTGGAATTCTTTTCTTTTTTTTTTTTTTTTTTTTTGCAAATTTTTAGTTTCGTGTTCATTATGCCACCTCTCTATTTATACAAAATACTGTCTCCCGAAGCAGCTGATAACAACTTGCTCTTTCGATTTTTTTTATTTTTTTTTGGTGACAGGTCCTTAGAAATTTATCCGCAGTCATTTTATGTTGGAGACATTTTTCTCTCTAAAGTATCCAGATTTCCAGACATAGCACCAGAAACGAGAAAACAATAAGAAAACTCAGCCTTATTCATGCAAAAGTATTTCAAGCTCTTGATCCAATACTCTGCAGCCTTTTTGGCTTTTTAAACATTTTAGTTCATATATATTACTCATTGATGTTATGTCAATTCTCCAACAAAGTCTTCAACCATTAGATCACTACATCTCCCTCATCTTACTAAAACTAATTATATAAGCTAGCTGATGTAAGATGGAGTAACTTGTAAAACTTGCTAAACTGAATTTCTAAATTATAAGCCGACTAAGCTAAATTTACTAAGTCTAATCAAGTTAAAGTGACTTATTAGGGATAAGAAGGCAGTTGCGCACCCCAGTAGGGAGATGATACTGGGTTATACTCGTCCACATTGAAAAGATAGTTGCATTCAGCGATCGGATGATGGTGGTTTGCTACTACCCTTTGCTTGTTAGAGCTGCGAATTGAGGTGCTTTCGACGGTCTCTTCCCCGGAGATTTCCGTGTAACCTGTGGAGACTTGGTTTCTTGTCGCTTGTTCCCTTAGCATACCTTTCAATTTCATGACCTGCATAAGGGGGTGAGAGTAAATGAGAATCAATTGGGTGCAAGGATTCAATGTTTATTTCTTTCTCAGCTTATTTAAGCAATCTGTATTTGTCAAGAAAGAGAAAAACAAAGTATTTGTACATCTCATAAATGAGTCATGAAAAGATCTTAAATACGCTAAGAAAGGTTGAAGCACAAGACACAGTTTAATGATTTGTATGACAAATGCTCCCCATCTGTCATGGGAGACTTTTTCGCATTAAAGTTTGCATTAATGAAAAAAAAGGGGAGGCCTCAAAATGGAGAATACATTCGTTTGTAGAACTGTGCCTGAAATATGCATGGAGAGAGAGATAGGGTTTTGAACATCTCAGCTAACCTCATCTTGAAGCTTCTGCTTCTCCCTGGAGATAACATCATACTCCTGTTTAAGCGCATCATATAAGCGCTCAAGCTGCTTAGCTTTCCATCTAGCTCGCCTGTTTTGGAACCAGACAGCAATTTGCCTTGGTTGGAGTCCAAGCTCCCTGGAAAGCTTCATTTTCCTATCAGGGTCCAACTTGATATCTTCCTGGAAACTCCTCTCCAAGGAGTCTAACTGATCACTTGTCAAACGCTTCTTCTTCTCTTGATTGTTGTAGCTGTTCTTGTCTAAGCCTGGAATCAACCCATGAGCCGCCTCTGCTAACCCTGGATGCTTCATCTCCATACCTTAGAAGAAGAAGAAGAAGCAGCAGATATCAAAATAATTAGGATTGTGTAACTTAGCGAATAAATATACATAGAAAGAAAGAAATTAAAGAAACACTTCAGGATGTAGCATGGTAAATTAACTTGCAGCTTGAACTGTATACTTGTTTTTTGATACGAAATGCAACCATATGTGAAGCTAGCCTTCAACTTTATTTGTTGAAAGTTGCTTCCAAGACTAATGATGAAAGTGAAACAAAAAGAAAAGACAGAATGGTGATTGAAGGGAGCGAGTTACTATACCTGGATATTGATCATAGTTATAGTTATAGAGGAAGTTAAGAGAAGGTTCTCGTCGAGAAACAAAGGTACGTAAGGCGCCATTCCAATCCATTTTTGACTTGTGTCTCTCCGTTGTCTTCTTTCCCTTAAATAAACCAAAATATATCAGTATTCCAAAGAAGTCGTTCCTCTGTTTGGAATATATGGACCACCAAGAGAGAGCGAGAGGAAAGTGCGCGGGCAGACCAGAGAGTGAGCTTAATGAAGCGTGACAAGAGAGACTCTTGCTTCTCTATACCTGTCTTTTGGGGTGCAACAAAGTGAATGCATGACAAGGCAAAACAAAACAAAACAAAACCGAAAGGGTTCTCTTTACTTCACTTTTGGGGTGCAACAAAGTTTAATGTGTGAATTTAAAGGGGAGAGAGATAGCTGGACTCTTGTCGGTTAATTAGAAGAAGAAGAAGAAGAAGAAGAAGTAAAAACAGAGTGAGAGAGAGAGAGAGAGAGAGAGAGAGAGAGAAAAAATTGCAAATGTGCAATCATAGGTCTCCATCTGGTCCCAGAAACCTGCCACTAGGAAACTGACATTATGCCTTCACTTTCTCACGCCTCGTCCTGACTCACTCCTCAGCTCTCCTCACCCACCAATATACCAAGTACTCCCCACCTCTATCCTTTTCCTCATTTTTCATTCCATCTTTAAAAATTATTAAATTTAGATCTTTGCTAAGGTGTTGCTATTTAGTGCTTAGTAGTAAATAGAGATTAGAGAGAGTTGGGAAAATATTGGGTGATAACTGAAAGGGGAAAATGAGACATAGGTGAGGCCAAATTGCAACATTGGAAGCTACCTTATGAGGAGGAGGTGGCATAAAATCACTACACAAAAACCTGCCACCTCTTACTGCATACTCATCCTATTGTTTCACCCTCCCTACACCACACCTTAATTAACTTGCAGTATCACAGTAAAGAAAAGAAGAAATCTGTCTCTCTTTTTCTCTCTTTGTTTTCTTCTCTCTCTCACAGTCTTTCTGTCCTGATGGGTTGGCTTGGATTTGGCTGACTACCCGTTCTGTAATTGAATTCAATGAATTTGTGGGGGCAGGCCTAGCTATGATCAGCTCATGCAGAGAGAGAGAAAGAGGAAAGAGTATCTTTTGCCAAAACAAAAACGTGAAAGAGTTAACGGTAAGAAGAGATGTTAGATCAGTATATGCTACATTGAGCCCAGAACTCACTGTCTGTCTTCCTTTCTTCTCTATTAATTAATATAAATATATATACATATATATATATATTTCTTTTATCTGAATTAAGGTGACAACAACACTTCATATTCAACAACTAAGAAAAGTAGAAACCCAAGAGAGGATTTGAGAAACTTGCACTTTCCCCTAAAGCAGGCTTAAGAACCTTTTGCACTTATCCAAAAAAATAAACACCCTTTGCTTCCTGGATGCCAGCTTCTCTAATCCCAAGTCACAACCTCAAATTAATGCTATATTATAGTATTTTTTTTCTGTTATTCTCACTCTTACTCAACTTTCCCTGACAACTAATTTTTGTTCCATCCAAATGAAGCGTTGAACTTCAGTAAACAGGAGAAATGATTTTTTTTTTAACTCTTGGATAAAAATACTTACAGACACTTTTCTTTTTGGTTGTAAGAGACAATTTTTTTATATTTTGAATTACATTATCTAGATTACATTTTTTTTATGGAGCATTGGTTCTCGCAGCATCTTCTCAAATCCCAGCATTTTCTCAAATCCAAATTTATTCTCAAACTGTAATTTTTTTATTACAAAAGTTATTAAATAACTCAACCAACAACTTTTATGAAGAGAACCTCTTTTTTTGGGGAAGTAATTTACCCTTTTCGAAATAGAAACAGAAGCCAGGATTCTCATGAGCATTTTGAATTTATGACCTTGAAAACAAGTAAGGAAGCATGCCTCAAAGTTTATAGCACAAAATTAAATGAAGACATTTACTTTGACACACTGTATATATACAGTGAAAATGTACACCAAGATACAGATGAAATTAAAATTTTATGTCGATAAAGATTTGATTGATCATAAATTTTAGCCATCCCTCCTCCCAGTACATCCGAAAAATTCAACTAAGCTTATAAAAATTGAGACCTTTGTTTGCTTAAAAAAAACAGGAGGGGACCTTTTTCAATCAGAACCTACAGTACCCATTTATTTCATAAATATATATCGGATGAATCCATAGATTTTTTATTTCAATTTGGTACATCATTTGATTATTTTTTAGAACACATTATATTTTGAATTTTTTTTAATTAAATGTATTTTCAAATTTTCAGAAAAAAAAAATCTTACACAAACAGGAGATCTGTCAGTAAGATAATAGTATAGGGTAACAATAGGGTTAACTTTAGAGGTACAGCCAATTAAAGCATCGTAGCCAGCTTCCCGACCTTTTTTCAGCCACGAGATGCTGAACATGACATCCCAATGCTTCCTCATTTCGTTATCAACCCGACCCCTAAAATTTTACTGGTGCATCTCAGTCTGGAAACTGGTGATTTCCTGCATCATTTTGACAAACAAGCGTGAAGGACATTGAAGCCTGGGAAAAGAAAATTACTACTCTTGAAACCCCTGAAATTTTCACTTCTCTTTGAAAGCCCAAAAAGTCCTCAACAGTTTCTCTATTGGTCATTGACTACCCTCAACAAAGCCCAAAAGAAACCAAATCAGACCCAACAGGCAAAGACCTCAAACAGTCAAGAACGTAGGGTCGGAAAACAACATGAAACAACTAGCTCATGTTTGCTACATTTTTTTCAAATACTTTAAAGTTTTAAAGACAAGCTGTTAAAGCCAACAAGTTATTGGATTAATTTTAAGGAAGAATTCTTAGAATTTTAAATTTGAGGTTTAAATTTTATTATGTGTAAATTTAATTGTTTAATTATATTTTAATTTATCAGTTAATTATTTAGTTATATATTATATATATGAATATAATAATTGATTATAATTATAATTTTTCTTATATTTTTGAACTTTCAAAGAAAAAAAAACTTGCAAAAAATAATATAAGCTCCAATGAATATCACTATTAAAATATTTGATGAAAAAACAAACTTACGAGAGAATTTATTTATTTCGTGATTGTCTTGAGATCAAATTTATTAAGAGATTATGATAAAATAATTTTTTATAAATTTATTAAATTTGATATGAATAAACAAATTTAAATTGATACAAAAAGCGAATATAATAAAAATACTAAGAACCCTTTACCACTCAAAAAAAAAAAACATTTTCGATGAAAACAACTTGACCTTTGAAAGAGAAATCTAGAAACCGGCATAGCTAGGAAAGTACATGAATTCCTAAGAGATCTGGTCATTAATGTCGCCTTGTACCAGCTGTGCTTGATACCAAGCTAGATAATATAGATAACAAACTTTATTCTTGCAAATTAGATTTGGAGTGATAAGTTGAAATAGTTCCCAAACGTTAATCACAAACAGCATAAATCCTTTTGGTTGGGATAAAGTTATAGGGAACGACTTCGCTGAAAACCTAAGTAGAGGTAGAGGTTGACCTAATTGAATTTATAGCCGTAAAATTTAGACCTCAAATTGATGGATTCGGAAGCTAACAAATGATCAACTTGATGGCAGCCATTAATGGCCGTTCTGTACTTCATGCAAAGTTTAATGTACCCTACAGCCAATGTTGTGAGATGTAGGCAAGCTTTTACACATAGGGATCTGGAACCTATGAGAACTAAGTCATGATCGATGGCTTGAGATAAGGACAAGAAAATTAGGGTGGCGGCGCCGATAATGGACCGATGTCTAAATGTTAAGCTACATGAAATCCAAGTAATGAACGGGAAAAAAGGAACCCATGTGGGCAAAGGAAAACGCTATGCATTATTCACTCATGCAACAGAAACATGATCATCTTCAAGGGAAAGGAGATACTAGGAACTTGAAAGGGGCTAACCTTGTCGATGGCATGGCATTTTGAATGTCAGAAAAGTAACAATTATGCTAAAATTTAACATAATAATAATGATGATAATGATCCAACAGCTATCTCAAATATTAAATGAGGATAGAAATTTGCAAATTTAAAACATTACAGCTGCTGGTTCAAGAATTTAACTTTGAAGACAATGAGTTTCAAATGAAATAAAACTGCAAACAATGGTAAACTAATTGCAATCACAAATGTCGAATTAATGTATCTAAAAGCGAGAAGATAAGACTTCATTTCAACTAAAATGTTGTAATCTTAACCGGAAAAGAACGAACAATCAATTATTTTGTTCCAAACAGAAAGGGAGGAGAGGAGCAAGGGGAAAGAAAATGATCATTTTAATTATCCAAAAAAAAAAAAAGAAAACAATCATCTCATAATTACAAACTTCAAACACCTGGTTTAGTCCTAGTCAGATCATTGAGAAACATGCTTTACCACACCGTGTTTTAAGCAGCCAAAACTTCTTACTGGTGGTCCAGCCTAGCATAAACCTCTTTCATTTGCTCACAGCTGTAAGTCGACTCCATGGACCAACCTTTGGTAAAGAGGACTATCCGCCCAAGGTCAGAGTTTAAACTAGGAATGCAGCTTACTTCAGTCTTATCTTATAGTAACAACTTTAGTGCAGACCAATGAATGACAATATATTCAAAGATTGAAACTAAACTCAGAGTTTAACTCAGTTGGCTCTTATATCGATTCTTAAGAGATAGCATTCAATAGGTCTAGAACTTGAATCCCGATAGCTGTAACCCCTTCTCCTATTCCCAGGCTATGGCCTCCTATACAAAAAAAAAAAAAAAAAAGAAACTGGACCACCTACCTACAAAAATAAGCCAACTCAAAACCACGAGAGAGCTAGGTAGTGAAATTTTGATTTCTTCTGTCATACTTTTCTAATACCATATGCAAGTCAAATGTAAACAGAATCAACTAATTCGAGAATGCAAATGGTTGAACTAATTGACAAATTATCAATTAAGGAAAAGTAATGATAAGCAAATGAAGTCAACATATTGCCTACACTTTTAGAAAATGAAATATCAATGGCTGAATTATTGGATAAATAAAAATCAGAGTAGAAGAGCAAGGAAGAGGAATAACAAGATAAAAAAGCTGAATGGATAATGAGCATATATGATTTTGACCATGTCATTCAAGTTGGTGAGTTTCTGGGTAAACCAACCCAACCTCAGTGAGTTAGTCTAGTACAATATAAAAAGAAATATCAGCTATGGTTCCTACGGCTTAACCAACCACACCAACCTGATTAGAGTTGGTTTCCCAAACAGAAGGGGCAAGGCAGACCCACAGGGCATAGTTAATGTAGCAGTTCCACAATCACTATTGCAATCAAACTTAACGAATGCAGTAAATCTGGATATAATCCACCCCCAAAACAACACAGTTATAGTAGAGATGCCATGAATTTCATAATTAACACAAAAATTCTTTATGGTGATAACTAATGAAAATAATTTAACATATTTATTGCAACAGTTAAAAATTCATACAGATCAGAAGAGAGCAAACAAAGCTTCTCCTAGCACCATGAAGCTTTTCTAAAAACGTAAAGGAACAATAAAGGAATAAAACTGCGTTGGTAAGATATAAGAAAGAATTTAGAATTGTACCTCATTTGCATCACAACTAAGTTATGAAAATTTTAACAGAAAGCACCTGATGAAAACAAGATGATAAACAAGCATAATCTCTTAATTTTATCTGCAAAGGTGTAAAAGGAACCAAAACTGGATCAAATACATGGAAGTGAAACTTACATAACCATAGAGGACACATACCTCCTCCAAAAACCAATTAAGATGATATCCTCTAAAACAACAAATGTCTTTAGAAGTATAAGCTGTACGTGGAACCCCACATGGAATTTCCAGGGATCATTGATGATAACAAACAACCTTGATGTGTTTCCGGCTATTTCAAGATCCCTCTTCTTTTACGCTCTCTTATGTCAGTGGGGATAATAAATACAGAATCTACACAAAGCCCTCCTTTAGAATGTGTGCAAGCTATCTGTTTCATAGAAAATCTGACTTCAGTTGCTGGTTCTGAGTGGCCGACAATAAATTCTCCTACCTTGTAATCTATCCAGCATCCACGCTTATGGTTTCCATTTTCATAATCTTGTTCAGTATCATCTAAATAGTGCTCACATGATGTTAGCTGACCATCAGAAGTAGATAACTCAAATGTTACAGGCTTTAGGTGCCAACCATGGGTGTGCTCGAAACTAGACACCCGTCTTCCCAACCTTTTTGAAAATTTTCCAAGGTGAAGCCTGAATGAGAGGGTATAGACATCAGCTGGAAGAGGGAACTTTACTACTCCATCGACTTCAAACCACCATATTTGCTGCAAATAGGCCACAACATGGAATCTGCATGAAGTGAGACATAGAGGATCCTTGTTAAAATTTGTTAACATAGAAAGCTGGAGAGGAGAAAAAAAGTGGAAACAACATGTTAACCACTGGCTGATACAATTGGAAAATAATTTATTCCATCGCATAAAAATCTGAACACTGACTGCAGCAACTGAAAATTTTCCTGGTTTGTGTAGAATCTTTAGAGAAAAAGAAAAAAGTTCAATAAAAGTTTTACAATGAAGCACTATAATGTTTTCATAGGTAGAAACAGAATTGTTAGTATTCCATCAAATATTTTGTTTAACTAATTAAGCACCATGAAGTAAGATTACACTCAGTATATGGTAATGGGAAGAAGTCACTGAGAAGTGAGAACCCATTCTCTAGTCACACTGTAAAGTGATCAATAGGAATAAAGATGAGCGCAATGTTAAAGCATCCTATCTACAAATACATGCCTTTAGTACATTAGAAAATTTATCTCCCCAAACACAAAGAAAAGAAGTTGCAATATGAGCCACATTTGATACGTCAGCTACCAGTGTAAAAGGCATCTATACCACTGCCTGATGAGCATAACAGAAAATAGTAAATAGCAATCACTCAAAATTGAATGCCATGCATATAGTAGTGAGATAAAGATGAACATTAAAAATCAGATCACTCTTCACCAGAAAACAGAAAAATAAATTCATTGACACAATCAGCTTTACTGCCGCCTTGATCATTCTGATCAATACAAGTTAAAAAAAGTAAAAGGTTGAATCATGCTAATTATCCAATGAGAAATGATGAAATAAGAATACTAAAACCCGGAAGTCTACATAAGCAATAAAGTTGTGCTTTTCTATTGAGCCCTCACTCATAAAGACTCCTAGGAAAATTAAAGTACTTCAGTAAATGTGCCAAGAACAGAACCATCAAAAAAATAATAATAAGCGTACCAAGAACTCAAGATCGTATCATGCCTAAAAAAAGGACTGGAAAGTTCATGGGAAAGTGTAGGGCTACCCTCTATGGTCTAGGCATTGTAAATAAATAAACAATAAAATGCTCCAAGTAAGGCATCAATTTATTAATCATCACTTGGATGTAAGAAAACTGAAACCAGCCTGCCTTATCACGATCCTACGTGCAGTTAGTATGGCTGAAAGTCCATTTAAAAATAATATAAAATTTGATTGTAGAATTTTTTTGAACATTCAGCAGATAAGAATCTTAATAATATGAAAATCAAAGCTAATGACATAGCATTCTTAACCGTGCCTTGCTACTGAAGCAAAAGGTACATTAGGAAGTTTCTAGAAGAAACTATAACATTCAAAACATTGGCCTAGCCTTACATATGACAGCCTTCAATTAGTCAGTCAAATAGTTAACAATGGTAGAAAAAGGTTCAATTAAGAGCCACTAAGTCCCAAAATTCTCATATTTAAATCTTTTTAGCATCTGTTATCCCATAATAACTTCAAGTATGCTTAAAGTTTGAGAAACAAACACAAAAAGGCTCGAAGACCCAAAATGGTTACGCAACAAAAACAAAATTTGAGTCTACCATGTGATATAGGACTATCATCCCATTTCCTGAGGGCAAAATCTTAAAGGAATTAACAAGAGTGAAATACAGTATGCTGTAGGGTAAGAAGTTTAAAACATATACATGTGAGAGATTACTCTGGAATAGTAATTATGAGAAAGAACAAAGCACCCAATGTGGTTATAAGACTTGCACAATATATACTCATTTAAAGGCAGGGACAAACTTCTACAGAAGAGGTGAACTTTCAAAGATTGCTAAGGAAAGAAGACAACCTTTTTCTCACACCAACTCAAAAAATAAATGTTAAAAGGAAAAAAGCAGCATACAGAATGAAAGTAGGAAAATGGCTAGTGTTCTGTTTCACTGTATGGGTAACTGATCAATCCTTATTAACTCTGATCCTGCACTAATGGGAAACATCAGTTCCTGCGTGGAAGCACACTTACGTACAGCATATAAAAGGGAGATAGGAATTGGAAGCTTAACATATCAGCATCCATATGCTTCTTTGTATATTCAACAAAGAGTTTCACAATTAAAATAGCAATCTTAATCCAGAATAGACAAATCTCAAAAAGATATGGTCAAGACAAAAACCAATCACAATGGAAAATATCTACACATAAAACACCTCAATTTCCTAAAAAAATTTTCATAAGAATAAACTTACACTAGGAAGCACTATCTCGATTCATGAAAGTTCGCCAATTCCTTATTGCAAGATACAAGTCTATCTAACGAAATTATCTTTCTGTATACACCTTTTCCAACCCATCAAATATCCCTTGAGATTAACGATGTGGCAACCAAGACAAACATCATCTTTAAAAGAGATTAAGTAAAAGATCCCATCATCATCTCGAGATTAACAATGAATGAGCAACAAGGATGCAAATTTTCTGAGGTTTCAGCCTTTCCATATAAAACCATTTGAATAAAGACAGCATCAAAACAAACAACAAAAGCCTAGGAAACGGCGGTTAACTAGCTCCCAAATGCATTTCCTTCCACAAAAGAATAAATAAGATGTGCAATTGACGTTACAATTTACCAAATGTCCCGTTCCAACAAATTTGTAGCTTAATCCATCTGTACGCACCATGTAGAAGCAAAACCGACAAAAAATTATTTCCACTTTATACTTCTTCAAGCAAGTAATATAAAATTCCTACATGGTGGTTAAAACCTTACAAGAAACATTTCAAGATCTATCCCATATAAAGTCAATGTCAAAATCAATAAATTATACTACTAACTTTAGTATGGAAATATCATGATATTAACATCTAACCTAGATTCCTCAGTAGAAACCCAATTCCAATATCTCCGGTCGTCGATTCCAGTTATTGCCATCCCTTTTGCAGATATTGCCATGCATACTCTGCCTGTCACTCTGTCCAGCCATACTTCCTGGATCACCCCATTTTCAACCGTAAGTAATCGTCGCTTATTCATCTCTGATTACTACTGAACTCAAAATAAAGCAACAAAAGCAAAAGAAGAGGAAAAGCATTAAAAAAAAAAAAAAACCCTTAAAACCCTTCTTTCCAATGCTCTCCAAGAAAACCCGGCGCAAACAAAGTTTGCTAAATATTTTTTCAAAAGATTACATTAATCCCACCACCTAAATTACCCAAAATCCTCATTTTCAATCCTTCACAAATAAATAAAGAGATAAACAAATATATTAAACTTACTCAAAAAGCTCAAAAGGCAAAAACAAATTTTTAAGGAAATTAAATTGACCAAAAAGTTACAAAAAAATCACAAACCTGATTTTCAGTCCTTTCCAAATAAATATATATAAAAATAAAACCAACGCAAAGAACCCAAAACTCAAACATCCAAAAATAAATATTTAATACAAAATCAAATTAAACAAAAAAATTTAATGATTACCTACCTTATTTCCATCATCAAAAGGTATGGCGTGAGAGAGAAGAGCAAAAATGTCTTTTTTGGACAAATTCTTGTACCTTTCAGGTGGCATCAATTCCAGCAGATCTTGATAATTGCTCGGTAGCTTCTTTTCCCAAACCGAATCCGACGACGCCGCCCCTCTAAATGCGCGATTTAACCTCGCCAGATTGCAAATCTCCGGCGGCGTCAAGTACGTGAAAACGCAAGCCACGCAGCTCTCTGGTATGTCCCCTAATCCTGGTCCCATCGCCGTCCCATTGGTTCCTTCGGTTAGGTTCGATAGAGACGCACCCATCGAATCTTTTTCTCTTCCCTTCTAAATTTTTTCTGTCGTTTCTAAATGTACAATTTACTGTGAATTTCGGAAGTGTTTCTTTTTTTAAGTTAGGGTGGTGCGAAGAGTGAAGAAGGGAGGGGGAGTACCTGGCGAGGGAGAAAATTTCTAGATATTTTCTACCACTTTTTTTTTCCGGGAAAATGCGTTTCTACTTTTTAGGAAGGTGGGAAAGAAAGTGAGGGAAAATGTAAGGGATTTTCCTTTTCGAGGATGGTTAAGTTTGGTCTAATACGAGAACGGAAAGGTATCTTGGGTTGGACCATAAATTAAATGTATTAGTCAATGTTGGAAAATTTTTGGTTTTTATGGCTTTTTAGTTTTCTTAATTAAGTATTTTATCTATTTACTTATTTGCCAATAATTTTTAAATTTTAAATTTTATAATTATTAAAAAATATTTTTAAAATGATTATATAAATTATAATTTTTTTGTTAATTTTTATATTTAAAACTTTTAATATTTATATTTTAATCCCTGAATTTAAATTTTTAAAATTTTATCGATAAATAGCATAATTATTAACAATTTTTTCACTTTGACCATGGGTGCCCACATCTTTATATTTTTAATCTAAACTAACCATATTGAATTAAGATTTAATTGAAATTAATATCATTATATACAACTAACCATAAAAATATTTTTCTTATATGGTGTTATGATTTCATTGAGCTTTTAGAAAATGATTTATTGTTATTCGACATTGCTACATTCTTCTAAAAAAATTATTTTTTATTAATTTGATTTTTGTGATAATATTTTAAAATAAAATTTTAAATGCATAAAATCCATGCAAAGAATGTCATCTTAATATTATTTAATAAAAAATTAGATTAAGATAATTTTTAAAAACTCTTCTAATTGCATTACAAAGAACATTGTTTTAATTATTCCAACCTATCAATTTTATTTAAGTGGGTATTTTCTAGATGTATTTTGACGTTTTTTTTTTTTCTTTTTTTCAAAGCTTTAATATTTGTAACCGATTATAAATGCATATTGATTCGAGTGATAAAAAATTATATTTTTTTAACAAAATTTTAATTTTAAATATTATAAATAAAAAAATAAATTTATAAAAATTTATCTCTTTTAAAAATTTTAATTCGATAGATTAATTAAAATATAAATAATTATCAAACATCAAAAATTTCGTACAAAAAAAATATTTGTAACCAGCCAGTATAATCCAAGACTAAGAAAACGTGAAATTAGACAAATAAAGTAAAAAAAAAAAAAAAGACAATTTTTTCCAAATATATAATTTTGTCATCGACAATGAGTTGGTTCATTGTATTAAAAGTCGGATGTCTTGTCATGGCCAGTTGCCTCGGTTGAATACTTGGTATGGAAATCTTTCTTTTTTTTTTTGTTTTTTTCTTTGGTTGCTTTCCTTAGGATATTTCTGTCTCTATATGTTCAAACATTTAACAACAAATTATATGAAAGCAAATCATAGTAAAAACTGTTGTATGTTAGGTGTGTTACAAATCCTGAATCTGGTTCAGCGAAACCCGACATCAATTTTTTTTTTTTTTGTCAAAACACAGTATTATTGCTATGTAGTCAAGGCTTTGAAACCAACCATCATTTTCCCTCCAATTTTCCCTACCTCAAATTCTTCCAAAAGGAACAACGTGCAGTTGAAAAAGATGAATAAATAAACTTGATTTGACAATTTTATTTTCTTCGTTTTAAAATAAAATAATTCACTCACCATTCGTGTTTATTAATATATTTTTTTAATAACGAAGACTGCAGCCAGTCTAAAATTTTTTTTTAAATAAAATTTAAAAATTATATGTATTAAATGTTATTTTTTAAAAAATAATTATATAAACAGTTAAATTATAAATTTTTATTTTATATATATATTAGTTAATTTTTTTAACGCTTAAATGAAAGGCTTAAACATAGCGGAAAAAGGGGGAAATCTTGACTTCTCAAAGTTCAAATACAGAAGTTTAGATAATATAAGAGCTTTGTATTTTAACTCTTTATTTTTATTATTTTTTATTAAAAAATTTGTAATTTAAAAAAAAAATGTATTGAGAGTATTAAAATTTAGATATGAAACTGATTAAATATTATTTTTTAAATATGATTACGTAAATTAATTAAGTTAAAGTTTGAGTTCACTTAACATTGTTAGTTGATGAATTAATGAATAATTATATTATTTTTTTATTTGAAAATTTAAAAAAATTGAATTAAGTCTTTGAATATGAAATATATGTATCTATCAAATATTTGAGTATTGACAATAATTAATCTAATAATATTTGTTTGTAAACTTATTTTAATACGAAATATTTAAAAATGTTTAACATCGTAGTCAAATTTATCATTTCAAGTATAATATTTAAATTAAATTAACTAACAATTAAAAAATTATAAAGCGGATAAAGAAAATAATCGTTAAATTGGAAGATAAGGAATTGGAGAAATTAGGGTCATCGGATGCAAATCGCATCATGAAAATGAAACATTAGGGTTTTTTGTTTATGTTTAAGATTTTCTCATCTCATTCAATTTGATTGTGTGTTCATGTCCCCATCACCACCAACATTTCTTTCCCTTATGGAATGGTAGTTCAATTTCATTGTCCCTCTCCAACACTTAGATTATAAAAAAAAAAAAGTTAAATGTTTTTTACAATGTTTCCAAGGAAAAGCACTTGTATTGGTTAGTCAGTCTCCTCAAGTGGATGTCTTTTGCCAAACCATGCACGGCTCTCAAAATTTTCAAAATTTCTCTTGCTTTCACTTCATTGAATGGGTAATGTGCAAGATTGTGAATTTGATTTCTCTTACTCCTATTAGAGTTTTTTTTTTTTTTTTTTTTATATGGTAGTATTACATCATTATTATTACAATTCATTAACAAGTGAAATTATTATTAATCTTTTTAATATTAAAAATGAGAGATTCCATCAAATACATACTAATTATCGAATAAATATTTCAAAACCATTTTACTTTAATGATTAATAGAGATATAAAGTAATTACTAGACATAAAAAAATTAGATAAAAAAATAAAATGTTATCACTCACTTTTTATAGTAAATAATTGAAATTTTTAAAATTTAAATTTGAGATAAAATAAGAGATTAATATTGATTTGAAGGTTAATTGTGAAAATAAATTTTATATTTACGTTATGTTTGGATAAATATTAATAAATGAAATGAACAAAAAATAAAGTTTTTTAAAAGAAATGAAATTATATATGTAACATTTGTTTGGATAATTAAAATTAATAAATAAAATGAATTCTAACAACCATTGTTTAGATAAAGAGTGAAAAAGAAAAAAAAATGATTCATTATAATAATTTTTTTCAAATTATAACATTTTATTACTTGTGATTTTAGAATATTATTGAATCATTATATGTTTGTTATCTTATCTGACCTTACAATTACTGTTATATCAATAGTTTTTAATCAAGTGAAATAGTAAAATATTTTACAAATATGCATTGATGGATTTTGAACTAATCAGTCATCTCATAAACTCAAAAAATATATCTATTCATATTCAACCATTCATCAAAATCAAATCACATAAAAATTATAAAAAAAATTTATATTGAAAGAGATACGTGAAACTTACTTAAAAAAAAATAGCTTTGAAAAAATTACAAGATAATTGTAATATGCTTATTTTTTTTTATTAGATTTTTAGTATTAATAAAAAAATAAATATAATAGTATTTTTATAAAAAAAATATTTTATAACTTTTTTTCCTTAGCTTTTCCTCCAAATTTAGGTATTGAAAAAATTGAATTTACAAAGAAAACCAAAGATTATTTGATTTTCAACTCTCTCTCTTTTTTTAAAATAAAAATTTATCCAAACAAAAAAATAAAATTTTTGTTTTTTTTACATTCATTTACTTTACTTTTCTTTCTTTCATCTTACTCAATCCAAACACACTTTTAGAGTTAATAATGTCCTTGCTTAACTCTAAGTCTCTAAGGTTTGTTTACCCAAGTTGTGCTTCTCATTTTTCATTTGAGCTGAGCTTTTGTTCTCTTTCCTTTCGTTTTGTTTTTGCATCTTTGAAATTGTATTTCCTTTGTTTTTTCAGGTGAAGATTTTTTTTGTCTGTTTTGTTTTTGTAAAATATAAAATGGATCCAAACAAAATAGAAATGAAAGCTACAGAGATTCCAATGAAATCCAGCAGTTACGATATCCAAAGTCGAACGCAGCTGAAGATTGATAAGCCCCCCCCCCTTTTGAGACCAGCAAAAGACGACACCAAGCCTAACCTTCAAGATCCAATAGCTCTTCCTCTTCTGTCTTTCCTTTTCTTTGCGTCAAAGTAATATTGTTTCGAGTGTTTGTTATAATTAGTATCAAATTCTTGCAGTTCCTTTTGTGTGGGTTTTTGAAAATTTTTTGTTTTTATTGTTGGCTGATACTAAGATCACAGCCAATGACACAGAGGAAGCACTGCTGCGAGCCTGCGATTGTCTCCTTTTCTTGCACTAAACCCATTACTCAAATTCAACGTTTTCTTTTTTTTTTTTTCGCCCTTATTTTTATGTATTTTGACATTTTGATATAAATTTAATAATTAAAAATACGATATAATAATATATTATAAATATGATATAAAAAAATATAAAAATAATACGATTTAAAATTTTAATAATTATTATATATAAATTTATTAATACAAAAATATTTTTTTATATTTTTATATTGACAATAATTATAACATGTAATTTTTATAAAAAATATAATATTTTTATATAAATTTTTATATTTTATATAATACGAATATATGAATCATCTAATTATCTTTTCAAATTGATGTATAATTTTTTAAAATGTTGTCTGTTTTTCTTTTTTAAAGTAAAATTTAAATCAATGACTGTTGTTGACAAAAAGTTATGGGTTAAAATTGGCTGCTACTACTTCGTAGATGCATGTAATGCATAGGATTTTTGTTTCACTTCATTGGTGGAATTAACATAATTTACAAGTGCAGGCTTTAAATCGAACCTATAACTTTATAATAAACTGTAATTTCAACATAAAAAAATATTATTTTATTTTGAAGTTAAATAATTTAGGTCTCAAATAGACATTAATTAATTAACACATGCTCTATGCATGTTTAAAAGAAAAATAAAAGTTTTCTAAAGTTATGATATGGTGGACAAGTCCAGAAATGACATGTTTAATTGCTAGAGATCTAACAATCATCTTTAAAAATATATACTTACTGTTAAAATGATAAATTTCAATTTGAGATTAATTGGGAGGTTAATTGAATGACAAAATTAATTTTTTTTAATTTCAATCATCCACAATTTTTTTACTTTGTTACTTATAGGATAATTTTTTTCTCTTAAAAACAAAATTAAAATATATAGGAAAAAAAAAAAAAAAAAAGGGAAAGAGAAGAGAAGGAAATTTATGAATTTTTTATTTTTCCACTTATTAAATTTTCATTTAATTTTTTAGAAAAATTATTTTTCTTAAAAAAAGTTACAAAAAGTGATAGGAAAGAAAAAATAAAAGAAAAAAGCATTAATTGAAGTTTTTTTCATTTTCTTTCGTTTAATTGTATCTTAATTTTTTAAAATAAATATTTTCATGAAAAATATTATAAAAATATAAAATATAAATATCAATAATCACCAATAAATCAATTATCAATAATAATAAATACAATTCAATTTGTTCGAAACCATCCAATTGAAGTGCTCAATTAATTGTCAGAAAAGAATTTTCATTTATTATTTATAATAAATAAAAGATTAAAATCATAAAAATATATAATAATAAAAAAATATGAATACATAAAAAATCAAAATTATTTCATTAAAAATTATGATTTTTGTATTGTTCTTTTTTCTTCACAATTAATTTAATAATTAAAAAAACACAATACTCTTAAAATAATACAAACAATTAATAGAAAAACAATATTAACAACATATTAAATACTGTAATTAATTATTTTATTTTTAATATTTTGTATGTATTAAATTTTTTATTATTTTATTTTAAAATAAAAGAATATTAAAAATTGAAAATTGAAAAAAAAAAAAAAAACCCCAGCGTAGCGGGGCGTGTTCTAGTGCCAATCAAAATATCCACTACAACTTACAAATGCATTGATTGATTATGATAAATAAAGACAGCTGGCCCAATAAAACTGCAGGGTAGGAAGAAGATCCAAATTGCTGCAAAACAATTGGAAATTTTATGCCCAAGGAAATCACATCCATTTCTGCCTATAACAACTTCAACTTTACTGTGCAAAAGTGTTTGGATCAGATCACCGTAGAATTAGAACTATCGATTGGATTGTTAAAAGGCTCCTGGACAAGGGCATTATGGTCCCCATATTTGTTTTTGACTGCTAACCAGCTGTAACCAGTTTTCCAAAGGTACGTTTGGATTCAAACGAACTTCTTATTTGGCCCAACCGTCTCGTAGAGATTCATTTGAATCCAAACGAATTGGTTCAATGGGCTCATTCTCATCATATCATGTGTGTCATTTGTTCATCAGTGAAAATTTTGAAGTGGATGACTGTACTTTTTCATTTTTTTCATTTTACTCGTAAGGTGGTCTGATTATTTTTCTGAAAAGTTATGCATACAATTAAAAATAAGTCTAAAATATTTAATTTTTGTTTATTATACATTCGATTGCTTTCATTTGAAAGTTTGTGTAAAAAAATTCAAAATATTCTTATTTAATATTAGGTTCCACACAGTTTAATAAAATTTGGATACAAGTATTTTTTAAATTTTGGTTTACAAATGTATTATGTGATATATATAAATAAGTTTTGTGTTTTTTAATTATTTATTAATTTTATAAATATTAAATAATGAATTTTATTATATACAAATCTAATTTAATATATATTTTTTCTTACTACATTTTACGTCACTATCACTACCTCTACTGTATTTACATTTAAATATATATTCTATTATTAATATAATTATTTTTTCTGTTACTATTATTTTTAATTTTACCATCATTTAAATGAACTTTAAGTAACGAGAGGTTGTCATGAATTAGGAAAAAAAAAGAAAGTCGAGACGTAAGTCCAGCATGTGTTCTAAAAAGTCTACAAAGCTTCAAGGGAATTTTACTTATTTTGGGCTTGAAAATTACAAAATTTTAATTAAACAAATCGATTCAGAATTCATTTCACAGCACAATAGGAGGGATTCCATCGCATTGTAACAAATCCATGGGCCTTCATTTGGATTAATGTCAAATGTAACGGACCATATTTTAATGTAAACATGATCATATGATTATTTTAATTGAAGTGGAAATCCAGCTGCACTAAAAAGAAGGTGTGAGTGTGATCAACTTTGTTTCTACATTCACATAAAGTAAGCTCAGCAGACTTTGGTCTAAAGATGATGTAGCAGATTAGACAGTTAATTTCTAATATGGAATTAATATTTAATATAGTTTTAAAGTTTTTTTTTGTTCATTATATAGTTTTAAAGTTTCCAAGTTTGACATATTTTCTACGTCTAATGGGTTGCCAAATGCCAAATGGGCACTATGATTGAGACTTTCCAACGTGATTTATAAATCATAAAGTGCACCTAACTAGAAAGATAGGTCCCAAATAGAGAAACAAAATAAAAAATATAATTGAAAATGATATACTACCAGACAAATATAACCTCATGCGTAATTATTAATTAAAAATTACATAAATTTATAATTTAATTTAATTGATTTATATAATTATATTTAAAAATATTTTAAATAAATTTAGATTAAAAAGTTTTAATATCTATAATCTATTTTCTTATTTTCTAGTTACCATCTCTTTTGTACCATATGTAATTTTTTTATTACAAAATAAAAAATAAAGTTACTATTTATTGGAGATTTAAATTTTTTAAATTGAGAATTGAAAATATGATTTAATAATCATAATAATAAAACCTTATTATTGATAATTGCATTGTACAATGAACCATAAAGAAACCTTATATTTTATCATTTGTTTATTATTATGTCACCTTCAACGCCTTGGTTTAATAAGAGAAAAGACATGAGAAGGAAAATATATAAGATGAGAATTTAAAAAGGAAAAAAAATACAATTTTTTATTGGCATTTCGTTGGATGTGGAGTTTTAAAGTCATTTTCCCCTCCTAGTTTTGGAAAATACTATGGGTTTGCAAAGGTATTTTTTTTTTAATATAAAAACCGGTTACGAGGAAAACCAAAACCAAAACCATGGGCCAGTTTTCCTAACTCAGCACAAAGAAATAAACCTTTTGCCAAACTAAAACCGGCTGCTACGTACTCTGTATACTAGCTCTTTGTCACTTTCTGTCTTGCCTATATCTCTCAATCTATTGCACTCGAACTCTCTCCACCTTTTATTTTCTCTGTTACACTATTAAAATTCTCAAAGAAGAGCAGTCGTTGCATTTTTTTCTGGTGTAGAAGAAGAAGTTTTCAGGTGCCTGGTGATTGTTATAACTCAATGGTAGTCAGTTCTTTATTGGGAATGTCTTCTTTTTTATGTGTTTCAACAGTTGTATAAATTTCCTGATAGGAATTTATGTTTTGTTGTCTGTTAAGCATTCAGAAAAAGTGAAAAAGTAGAAGCCAATGACATTTTCCTCGACAGGGTATTTGAGATCTTCAATAATTCTTGTAAGAGCTGTTTTTACTGTTATTCTGAATGGAAACTAATGCTTTGCCTGGTGGGATGTTTTCTGGGATTGGTTCAGGAATGTTAGGCCTTGAAACGCCATTACACCCCCAACAACAACAACCTCAAAACCTCCAAAGTGCCCAAAACCCACATAATTTACATCATCACTCACAAATGGTTGCTTTTTCTCATCGTGAAACTGACCACTCACAACACCAGCAATCTGTTAAACAAGGCTACCCTTTTGTTTCCAAAACCAAACGAACATCCCCTCTTAGTGATGAAGATGAGCCTGGTTTTACTCATGACGATGGTGCTGCTGATGCTAAGAGAAAGTTTTCTCCATGGCAAAGAATGAAATGGACTGATAACATGGTTAAGCTACTCATAATGGCAGTTTATTATATTGGTGATGAAATTGGATCAGAAGGGAATGATCCTACTGGCAAGAAAAAAGCTGGTGGATTATTACAAAAGAAAGGGAAGTGGAAGTCGGTTTCGAGGGCTATGATGGAGAAGGGGTTTTATGTTTCACCACAACAATGTGAAGACAAGTTCAATGATTTGAATAAGAGGTATAAGAGGGTTAATGATATACTTGGTAGAGGGACAGCTTGCAGGGTGGTGGAGAATCAAAGCTTGCTTGATACTATGGATTTGTCCCCGAAAATGAAGGAAGAAGTTAAAAAATTGTTGAATTCTAAGCACTTGTTTTTCAGGGAAATGTGTGCTTATCATAGTAGTTGTGGCCATGGTGCAGCTGCTGGGACTAGTGGTGCTAATCATTCACCAGAGGTGGCCACTGAGACATCCCAGATTCAGCACCAGCAAGCTCAACAACAACGATGCCTCCATTCATCGGATAATGCTCAAATTGCAGGCAATTCAGGTAGAATCGAGACAGAGGTACCGAAATTGTCTAAAGTAGGCAGTGAAGAAGAGGATGATGATGAAGATGATGATGAGGATGATGATGAGGATGATGATGAGGACGTTGAAGAGGCAATGGATGGACACTCAAGGGGTCAGGAAGATGATGAAGAAAATGATGAAAAATCTTCTCGTAAAAGGCCAAGAAAGGGAGCGTTTGCAATGTCATTGTCACCACTGATGCAACAATTGAGCAGTGAAGTTATGAATGTGATACAAGATGGGTCAAGGAGTGCTTGGGAGAAGAAGCATTGGATGAAGATGAGGTTAATGCAATTGGAGGAGCAACAAGTCAGCTACCAATACAAAGCATTCGAGCTTGAAAAGCAAAGGCTTAAGTGGGTGAAATTCAGTGGCAAGAAAGAAAGGGAAATGGAGAGAGCAAAGCTTGAGAATGAACGAAGCCGGCTTGAAAACGAGAGAATGGGGCTGCTTGTTAGACAGAAGGAGTTGGAGTTGGTTGATCTTCAGCGCCATAATCGGCCTCAGCAGCATTCTTCTAACAAGATGGGAGACCCATCTAGCATCACTGTGTGAAAATGTAACATATGATAGGGGGGTCACACTAGATAGAGATTTTAGATGAGATAGATACTTCTTTGCATGAAAGGTTTTTCAGCTTTTGTTCTTTTGAAATTTATTTATGAAATATAGTTTTCTAGCATATGAATTCTATGTTTTCAAGTTCCATCGTGAAAAGAGTCTTGGCTCACACATGTCAATTGTATTTTATCCAAGCCTATGAACAAATTGACCATATAAACTTGTCTTCATTGCCACTAAAGAATAATCATATTCGTGAAGTGGTTGAAGAGGTACATGGAAAAAAGAAAACTACCGCCTTTTTTGATGGTTTTAATGTCAAAATGATTAGTTAAATACAGTGCTATTGTGTTGAAAACTTGAAAGTTTCATGCGCTGGCCTGTGAATATGGTAGTAGAAGTACCCACTAGAAAACAAACTAAATTTGAAACTTTCTTCTAACAGTAACAAGGGTGGAAATTTCCTAAAAATCTAAATAGAAGCCTTGTCATTCTCCATCAAGCAAACGCAAAAAAATAAAATCTTTAAATCCCGGAAAATCCAGAAGGATAAGGAATAATTGGTGTCCAAAACTTTGGAAAATCCAGAAATATAAATGAACAAGGACAGCATAGATTATTTTTATTTATTTAAATGTATGTAGACATATAAATTTACGGTATTTAATCACTGATATGTTTAAGCTATATATAAAATATATAATATAATTAAGATCTCAAATTATAATAAAGTTAACATTTTTAATTAAATAATTTGATAAATAATGTTATAAAGTATACTAACAAAATATTAAAATATAAATTAAAAATTTTATCACTTTAAATTAATTTTCTTCAATTTACAATCTCCATCTTTAAGGTCATTTTTATACAAATGTAAATATAAATAATTTTAAAAAAATTTATTAAAAAAATAATATATTTAAATATTTAAATAACATACTAAAAACTTACTCTATTTCATAGCCCATAACAATAACATCCAATGTTTCATCAATTTTAAAAGCGAGAAATGTATTTATAGTTAAGGTTGGTAGTTCAATCCGGAATTGACGGTTTCGATTTGACTCGATTTTTTAGAGTTGATTTTTTTTTAATCAGGTTTCGGATCAGGTCGGATATTATTAAAGAAAAATCGTGGTTAGGTTAAGTTCGGATTTTAGTTAAATCTGATTCGATATTATATAAAAATTTATTTTTTATTTTTTAATTTATATATTTATATTTTAAAAAATAATATTTTATTAATTTTGGATCGGGTCAGTATGATTTATACAATATTAGATTCGGATCGAGGTCGGATATAAAAAAATAAAAAAAAATTTTGAGTCAAATACGAGTTCAGGTTTTATTGTCATAAAATTAAATCGAATTCAGAACGAGTAAAAATTCGTCTTGACTCGATCTGTTGTCAATCCTGTTTATAGCTGCAATGATCTGCATAATTCATTAATATATTTATAAATATATATATCTAAAAATTGGACTACTCATTTAAACTTGAAATTTCACTCAAATTTAAAAAAAAAAAGGCTTAGATATAAATTTTAGGTCGATTAAATTAACGTAAGCTTAAATTTTAGGCTCGGGCTACCCCTTGTGTATGACATTAAGGTCAAAGTTTATCCAAACCTGGGTCGAATAATTTTTATATATTTATAATTACATTATATAAAAACAAATATATAATTAAATAATGTGTTCATATTAATACCATGTTTGTATGTATCATTTCATCCAAATATCAAATTAAATTAAGTTATTTTTTAAATTTTCTTTTATTGATTATTTATTTTTTTCATAGTTAAAATTTATTATTAAAAATACCTTTTAAAAATTAAAATATAAGCGGACTCAGACAAGCCTACGCAACTCTTTTGAAAATAGATCAGTCTTAGACAACAAAATTAAGCTTATATTTTAAGCTGTATCGAGTTCGGACAAATCTAAAGCTTGTTAATATCATGTTTAGATATTGTTTATGTATGCATCAATTTTGCATTAACATTCATACTTATAAACTAAGACCTCAATATTTGGAGCGAAAAAGAAGCATGAAAGTACTAAAGTAGAGGAACACAACATGTACATGTCAATTCTAATGTTTTTGTATGACTGTCGCATGTAAAGCCAGTGGAACATCATTGCATATTTCATTGTCACTAAAGGCTTGCAACTAAATTTGCCGATTACTATTTCTAGTAGTATAATGGAATATAAACTATATTTGAGAAATTAAATTAGCGTTCTTGAAATATATTTGTAAGCAAAAAAATAAAAAAAAAATACATTTAAAATTTTAAATTTAAAAGATATATATAAATTATAAGGAAATCCATTTTAAAAAGATAATATATTATTACATTTGAATTTTTTAGATTTTAAAAGATATATATATATTATTAGAAATTTTATTTTAAAATATAATATTTCTATATTTGAGATTCCTTTTCCTGCTGGGACAGACTCAAAACCATTTTTAAATTAGAGTGCATAGATAACTTTTTAAATTTATAAATATAATTTGAATTTAAAAACATAGTAAGTGATGAAACTAATAATAATGTAGCACAACATATTTATAGGTTTATTAAATGATAATTAGAAAGTATAAATAATTTTTAAATTTGAGTTAATAGGTAGCTTTTTAAATTGATAAATATATTTTGAATTTACAAAAAATAATAAGTGATATTTGTGATTTCAAATTTTAAAAAAGTTTTAAAAAATTATAAGAAATTTTATTAAGATAAAAATATTTTTTTGAGATTTTAAATTTTGAATTTTTTATTAAGTGATTTAATTTTGAATTTAATTATTCACTTTTTTCAAGTTTAGCTCATATTTTCTTTTATAAAATGGATAGCGAATGTATATAGGAGGATAAAAACTTTTAATTTGTGAATTTATAATTTGTGAATTATCTTGTTGGAGTGTTTAAAATATGGATAGCATAAGAGTAAAAATCTAAAACAATGATGAGAAAGTTATAAGATTACGTTACTTTACCTATTTATATGTAATTTAATTGTATATATTTATCTTTTTAAATTTGTGAATTATCAAATTAAATTAACACTTGATTTAAAATATAATAAAAATTTAAATAACTAATGATTATTTTAAATACATTTATTTAATTGATAATAAATAATACAAAAATAAAAATTATCCTATGTGTCAAATAAAAAAAATTATCTACTTAATTGTTCATATAAATAAATCTTATAAGTTAAAAAGTATCTCCTAATGTAATACATAAATATGATTAAAAAATTAGTATGTGTTAAATCTTGGAAAATCTATGAAGAGAATATAAAAAGCATTGAAAAAAAAAAAAAAAGCTCTTAGGTATAAAAAATTTTGTCCCATAAAGAGTCGTCGAGAATCCAGGATGAATGCTGGAAAATCTAGAAAGTAAATTGTCCCATAACGAGTTGTCGAGAATCCAGAAAGGAAGGATGAATGCTGGAAAAGGATGAATGACGGAAAATCTAGCCAGAAAGGAAGGACAAAGGATGAATGAAAAATAAGGATGGGAAAAAAAGATCACGCCTGGTGGGACTCGAACCCACAATCGTCTGATTAGAAGTCAGACGCCTTATCCATTAGGCCACAGGCGCTGTTGTTTAAATTTTTATTTTTCATCCTTTATTTTTATAAATTTTAATCTATACTCAAGCCGGAATAAAAAAGTTATTAATATTAATATATTAGGCATAATTAAATTTAGAGCTGCGAACATAGTTTAAATACTTAAAATATTATCCACGAGGGACGAAGACAGAAAGGAAGACAAAAACCGACAGCCTCGTACAATACTGAAAACAACGTCGTCCTCCACATTCTAGCCTTCGTATTGCTCCGTCCACATTACTAACTAAGAATGATCATCCTAGATTACACAAAGTTAGAATTGGCTAAATCTAACACTCAGAATTTAACCAGTTTAAAAGCGTAGAATAGAAAGCATTGGTCTGAGAGAGTGACATTAAAGACAAAAATTACAGCATGCATTGCATTTAACTGTCAAAACTGATCCACCACCTTTATTTGGAGCTTAATCAAGAAAAAATTTTTTTATTCATTTGGAACCAGGTATGTGCTTTACCTTCACATCAGTTGAAAATGGGGAACATGGCCCATATTTTCCATGGCAATCATTTCGGATACAGTAGAATAATTACCGGAGACTGTAAAAATTTACATATTCTTAATACATTTCAAATCCATGCGTTCACCAAAACCTGGGGATAATACCTCGCAGGTGCTACCAATAAAGTCATTCACCGCTTTCAAAAAATCAGGACGGAAATATCCCAAAGAGGAGAAATTGACAAAAATGATTTAGTTTAATCTTCGAGCTCGATAATCTTCACAACAGACGCATCCCCGACCTTCTGGCAAACAACTACTCGATCATGCGGCTTAATAACTCCTGCAGCCTTCCCATGGTCAAGAGCAACCTTCAAAACTGACTCATTTGTTGCGCTGGTAGACTCCGCCTGCAAAACAAAGCAGAGCGATATTAATTCTCCAGTACAATCTAAATGTATAGGAATGGAAGTTTTTTTCAGTCTTGAAGAATACAGTCACAATGAACATAAAGCAGTACTTACGGGATGTCGTGGATCAGCAAGCATTGGGAAGAGACCTCTGACACTGAGGGATTGCCTTGCCTGAATGATTGGCAACAAAAAAAAGATGGTTCCATTAGGACCGACACAAGCATATGAGTCGCAATAAACATTCCAACAACACATCATTAACTTCTATAAGTTAACTAGCAATGTCAATTAAAGTTGGGAATAAAATTATTCCGACTTTTGTGACAGAATTATACCACAAATTCTTCTTTTATATGACTACTGCAAGGCATTATCTACTGTCTGAAAAAGTCACAGCTGTTATAAATGGTTTAAAGGTAAAAACCAAGCTTAATAAAACAAAAATATCTTCTTGCAGTGATGACAAAATTAAATTGCATTAAAAAAAGAGAGGGCTTTTTCCATATTAGTGTTATAAATCACCAACTCGAGGCATAAAACATAAATTGAAGCGAAGACAAAACTTAAGAAGGCATTCCATCAACAACCAGGTCATCCAGCAAGTTCTACTAAACAACACGTCAAAGAGCTCAAAAGACCAGCCAACACAATCATTTCGTATATGGCAATGAATCCATTTAACACTTTACTATCACAAGCACAACTCAGGAGCAAGTGTTTTCCCACTTTTGGACATGCTGACGAGGACTCCTACAGAGACTATAAAACAAACAAAACTAACTTTTAAGCAGTTACTGGGACATCCAGAATTCAGGGTGACAGACATACCTCAAAGGCCCCACTGAAGCTCCACCTCAATTGATTTGTCTTAAGGCGAGGGATGACAACTGAGAGAACTGGCATTGTTGGCCTGTACTTCGCAATCAATCTGGTATATACATGGAAAACATTCAGAAGCCATATAAATGAATCAAGATCTACATAATATACAATATTAGTAATGAAATTAATACACCTTTGACAAGTTTCCATTAATACCTGCCCCCCACCACCTCTTGGAGGGTGACTGGTGAGAAAAGAAAAGAACAAAACAGCTCACATATAATTAAAATTAATGATATAGCAATCGTATACCTTGCAGCTCTCCCTGAGGATGTGAAGCATATAATAACTGATGCCTTCACCTTAATTGCTGCTCGTACCTAAACAAGAATTAAGCCAATCAGAAACACATTTGCAGATACACACTCATTTTAGCAATACTAGAAGTTCGTAAAGGCCACTACGATATACTGATAAAAACATGTATCAGAAGAGTAGCATTGTGGAGAAGAAATACCGCAGAGGAAGCAATGGATTCCAAGTGGGTCATTGGCTCTCCAACATATTTGACAGTTTTTTTGAAATACATGTCCTGGTTGAACACCTTCTCTGCCTGTGAAATTTATAATAAAATTGGAAAAACTCAGCTGAAAATGCTTAGCAAATGGAACATAAATATCAATGCCTTCTTATTTTAACATTTCCGGAACATTAAGTGCTCCATCTCATTGACATGCATGGCAAGTTAATGGGTAATTGATGCAATATGCAATAACAAACATAAAGCATCCAAATTCCAAACCAAAAGCTGATGCATGAATTATACATTCCTGCAAAAAAAGGGCAGTCATGCACAGGTTTTTGGTTAGTATGGTAGAAAGTCAAATTTCTTCAGAAGGATCATTACCAATGGAAGACCACAAGTAAAACAGGTTTGAAAGTGTTGCAAGTTTGGGTTTCCCTTATTTGAAAAAGTAAGTAAAACCTTAGCTGAACACAATAAGTTGACCGGAGAAACATATGAATATGACTCTTGTCCCTGTGAAGGTTACTTCATTCATCCACAGGTATAGCTTTCCAGGAAAAACAGAAAAAGTGCAGTGTTTTTTTACCCCTTATGAACCACAGTAAGATGGACACCCAGGCCCCAACCAAGCATCAGGATATTAAAAACAATGTCTATATGAGTGTGTCTTGTGAGTCAAAACTCAAACCCATATTAAGCCTAGTATATTTCAGGTCTATAACAGTTTGTTAACGAGTAACAAGGCCACAAGTCTCCAAAGTTGGAGCTGCATAAGTCAAGAGATTCATGTATGCACATTTACGAGAGATGGAATTTACCTCAGCACAAATTTTGCCAACAATAGAAATGGTTTCAACAGGGTATAATCCACGCAGGGTCTCAGCACCAAGAAGAATAGCATCACTTCCTGCAGCCATCAGAAAATGGGACAATTAAAAAGATGAGTTTAAACTTGTGTTGTGGATTTGTTGGAAACAGTGTCAGTTTCCAACTCCATTGAACAAAATAAGAGAATTTTCATACATCAGTGAAATCGCATCACATATGGCATGTAACCATAAATAATTTGAAAGACATCAATGAACAAAGTCTAAAGCAGCGAATGCCCACAATAAAGCATTGAAATATACCATCAAGAACAGCATTGGCAACATCAGTAGCCTCAGCACGAGTTGGCCGCAAGTTGTCCGTCATACTGTCCACAACACGAGTGACAACCGCAGGCTTTCCAGCCATGTTACACTTATAAAGGGCAGCTTTTTGAAATAAGAACACCTGCAAGGAAAGGGAAGTTAATTACCAGCAAGCTCTAATAAATAGTCACATTAGGCCCCACATCTACATATCAAATTAAATTACACATTTAAAACTAGGACCAAGAATCCAAGCAAACTAAAAATCATTTACAAAGTAAAGTTATATATTATGGAACAGATGGCATGATCCATTCAAGAAGATAAATTTTGCAGCAAAACTATTGCAACATATTCATAGCCCTGTACAAATTGGATCTCTACCATTTATATAGACCAATACCATATTTTATAATAAGAACTTTAAGACCAGCAAAAGGAAATATGGTTCAAGTTATGAAACTGACCTTCTCGGGTGGGAGATCAATGCCCAAATTTCCCCGGGAAAGAATGATACCATCTGCTTCCTGTAGGATCTCATCAAAATGGTTTAATCCCTGAAAAATGAAAAAAACATTAGTGTCACATTCTTATTCACAGCATGTGAAATCAAAACGCACGTATTCATTGTTCTCAGTAAATACAACATCTAATGCACCTCTATGTTCTCAATCTTCGCAAAAATTTGTGTCTGACCAAGGTCACCCAACTTTGAAAGGAACTCACGAGCCTACAAAGAGCATGCAATCAGAAAATGCAGAAAGTCAAGAAAAAACCACATAAGGATAGGCAATACTTACATGGCGAACATCTTCTGCGTGTCGCGTGTATGATAGTGAGAGGAAGTCAATTTTGTTTTGAACTCCCCAAGAACTTATAACCTGAAGTAAGTATTACCAGATCAGCAAAGGGACTCCATGGAAAATATCAGGGCAACAAGCTAAACCTTAATAAGAGAGAGGTGACTTTCTCCATTACTATAATCATTAAAGGCAACAACCAACGATAAACTTACCTCCTTGTCTTTATCAGAGAGGGTAGGCAAATCAATACGAATTTGAGAGGCATGCAAAGTGAACAATGACCCAGCCAATGTTGCAGAGTTCTTTATCACACAAACCACATCGTTTCCTTTTACCTCACTAACCTGCACAATTTCAGTCACAATTTAGGCAATGGTAGGTGCATAAGAATTCTCATTGTAAAGTTCAAATCCCTAATTAATCAACCAACAAATAGGTAGTAAACAAACACAAACAGAAAGACACACTCATATCTGGCTCCGCTTTACTTACCTCCAGCCATACAGATGTGGTTTCACTCCCAGTAAACAGGTACTGACCTATAAAAATAGTGTCTCCCTGCTTCACTGCCTGCAAAAACAAGATTGGATGGCTTTGTCATAAAGATTGCATGAAGAAACAGGACAACCACCAGCAAATACAAGTTCCTTTGAACTAACTGGAAAAAACTGACACACTAAGTTTCCATTATCAAGAATCCATAACCACTGTGCACTAGCCAATGCATGCCTCCCAAACCCTAATTAAGGAAATGCTGTATATAAAAGCTATGAATGTACAATAAAATCAGACATTCAAAAAAAATTATGTTTTAAACCTCAGAACCAAAAGGCAAAAATACAAGGCTTATGCAGATACTTTCGCAGGGTGCATTACATGGGATACACAAAATGCAATGAGAGGTAGTGGACTAGCTTTGTACCTTTGACAATCCATCAAAATTGATTGGCAATAATTCCGAAGAGGCCTCTTGTCCTTCATCCGGTGTCAAAATAACTGTAGCATCTGCCTGAAGTGAGATGGCTTTCTCGCTTTTATTAACAACCTGCAACTCAGCACCCACAGTATCCAACATAACCTGAAAGGAAAAAACCAAATAGAAATCACTTTATTTTCTTAAATTCCATTATCTTCGTCAAAGCAGTGAAAGAACAATCTGTACTACAGTAACAAACAAAAAACTACCCATTGTTTGCCACACTCAATATTCAGGAACAGGCAACTCCCTCCATCCGGAGCAAGGCATGAAATTACTCAAAAATTCACATAAAAGATGTCCTAATAGAGTAATATCAAAAAATCATTTTAAAAAGAAAACATGAGAAATTATTTTGTTTTCTGCGGAACACAAAATTTGCAAATTAAGACAGACAATTTTCCAAGGAAACAAACAAACAAACAAGAAGCAAACAAAAGTTATATAACTAACAAAAATCTACCAAAATACACAGAATATACCGCACAAAGCTTCTTAGTGAGCTTAACGGCTGCCTTTAAATTTTCTAAAGTTTCCTGATGATACTCCGGGTCATGCCACGAGAAATCGAACCTAGCCACTGCCAAAACCCCAAAAAAAAAAATCAGAAAAAAAATCTTATTTCCAGTAATACAGTAATAACTTAAAAAAATAGAGTGAGGCAGCAAATACCGTACCAGACATTCCAGCTTTAAGGCAACCGGAAATAACATCCACGGATCGAGACTTCGGACCTAAAGTTCCAACTATCTTTGTCATCGCCGGAAAAAAACTCTGGAAAAAAGAGTACAACCGAATCAGATTCCAAACCTACTCGTATCCGATCAGCTTCCTCACAAAAACAAAAACCTAAACAGATTGACTTGAAAATGAAAGTGAAACTTACAGGCTTCGATGGCTCCAGGATTGAAGCCATCCTGATTGGCTCTTCTAGAAGCAGATGACTCGAATGCATTTTTTTCGCCGATTAAAACAAAATAAATCGATTTCCCTTCTTTTCTCCTGACAGAAAATCGTTTATCAAGAGCTTTCGCGTTAAAAGAATGAAGGGATTTTTTTTTTTTTTTGGCTGCGTAAAAACTTGAACCAAAGAATATGCTTTTGTCCCGAGTAAAAGTTACCTTTTATCAAACGAAGTACAGGAAACCTGATTCCACCCCAACCAAATGACTTCTTCCCAGATTTTTTTTTTTTCTTTCTCACTGCCAACTTGAAGATCTTTATTTCCATTAATTACACGTGGCGAATATCAAGTGGTTGGTTTTTAACGGGGCGTGATTCTGACAGGGTTGCTAAAGCGTGAATCGTACACTTTCTTGGCGAAGGGGATAATTGATGTTACGTTGCCACTCAAACACCCTGCACGTGTGTAAAACGGATGGTTTTGATTGGATGGACGGAGTGGGGTAGATGTTTGAATATAATAGCTGCAGCGCTTTTGGGCGAGTAGGTGATAGTGATTTTTTCGAGGAGCGGTAAGAGTTGTAGACGTTTTCGAACGGCCGAAGGTGTAAAGTTGATCCGCACAAGGAAATGTATGCTATGGAGAGTTAAACCGAAACTGAATCACGTAGGCGTCCAATTCTGTGGGCTGTCGTTTTTCTTTTTAATATAGGTGTTCGGTTGAGAGGTGTTAGGTTGGGCACCTTTTTTGAGTTGATTCGGAAAGTGTGACTCAAGAAATGGGCTCATTTTGTTAGGCCCAAACTTTGGAGTCAAAATCAAATCAAACCATATCCCATGAATTGGGCTATTTTTTGATTCAAATTCATGGATCTATTTCGATTTTATTGGATTTTGGGTAAAATTATTTAGCTTAGTTTAGATTATATTTGAGATATTCTCTGGTTTCAAATTATTTGAATAATATTAATTTTTATGAAATTCAAATTTTTTTATTTTAATGTATTTAATATTAAAATTAAATTTTTTTATAAAATTAAAATTTCATAACTTTTAATATCAAAAAGTAAAAAAAAATAAAATATAATTTTAATATATAAAAAATAAAAGTTTTAGATGTTAAAAAATATATATAATTTTGAAATATCTCAAAAGAGAAAATTTGATTAAACAAAAGGGATAAATGGAATATTAAAATTTTGATAAAAATTATTTTAAAATCTAATTTTAATTTTCAAATAATAAATATTTTAAAAATTTCACCGAACTAAATCCAACTAGACTCGAACATGGACAAGTTTAACGGCAACAATAGTATTTGATTCCTTCGAAGGCCACTGATTGACAAAGCCCATGATAAGTATTTGAACAAGGAATGTTAAGACGAATGTGTCATTTATAAAGTCACGTGTTGAACGCGTATCATCTATTCATCTAAAAAAAATTTTGTTAGGTTATACTATTTGATAAGACTTATTTTTGGATTATTATTAGGGGTGAGAAAAAATTTGATTTGAAATTGTATTATTTGATTTGATATAAAAATTTTTATTAAATTTAAATAAAAAATAAAAAATTATAAAAAAGTGAATTGGATTTGAATTATATATTTTTATTAATTTATATATTTTAATTTATTATAAAATAAATATAATTATTTTACATCTAACTCTATTTAAATATATTAAAAATCATATTAAATTAATATAAAATAATTTTTTTTTCAAAAATTGATAAATCAAATTAAATAATTAGAATTAAGTTTGAATAAAATCAATTATCGATTTGTGCTTTAATCGTATTTTAAATTTTTATATATTATATATTATTCAAAAATAGATAGAATTTAATCCAATTTAAATTATTATTAGCTCTATTTAGTATGAAAGTAATTTATACATTTAAAAACTGCTTTTGACCCGACCTTAATACTTAAAAAGAAAAAAAAATTATTTTGTTTAAAAGCCTGATTTTACAACATCAATCAAAAGTTATTCCAAAAATGCTTTTGCAGTGAAAAATGGGTATTAGGGATAGATAATCATTATCTTACTTTTATATTTTTAATATTTTATTATTTTATGTATATATTTTTAGACATCTCAATTATTTACAATAATTTTTTAATTAAATTTTTATTCGCATTTTTTTATCACACTTTTTAAATGTATTTTTTTAACTTAAAATTTTTTCAAACGCAATAGTAATGTTTAACTGATTTTTATTTTCATAAAAATAATAATAAATAGTTTTTCAACTGAAAAATGTCGTAAAATTGTTATAAACAACTAACGTTCAAAGCTTTTTCTTTTTCTATCCATCTCATTTTCTTTCTATCCAAATATATATATATTTTTTTACACAAACTATTTTTTTGCTATATTCCCAAATTATTTTTCATAATTTTTTTTTTTTACATTAAAAACTCAATTGTATAAAAAAGCTTAACATTTTATTTAAACACACTAAAATCAACATTTAAAAAAAAAATTTGTGAAAGTCAAAAGAAACAAATAAATAGGGACGAAAGGAATATTTATCTTGGACTTCTTTAAATATGTATGTAAAATGTGAATATACATATAATAATTGATTAAAATTTGTTGACTAATTAAGCATAAAATTGGGCCCTTTTCTTAAGAAAGAAGCCACGTGGGTTCCATTTGGATGAAAGGCCAATTAAAAGCCCATAGTAAACCCAATTTATATTGTGGCCCAAAGAGAAACCCAATTTTATAAACCAGACCAAAACCGAAGGGTGTCGAAAGCAACTGCCGACCCTTACCCACATGCCGATTCCTTTCATACTTTCCTTCATTACTTAACGGAACCGTCTCTATCCGTCACGGCCCATCACGTTCCGTCAAACTACCCCCCCAACGTCTCTCCTTCCTCCCCTAACGTCTTCCGTTCAGACCGTTCCCCTTTCCCCCAAACCTAACCCTAACGTCCGGCTATGGCCTCTTCCGTTGACGACGATTTCTCTCTCCTCGATGACCACCAAACTAACCCTAACCTCCACCACCACCACCCTTCTTATGCGCAGATCCACGCGCCTCCCCCCGACAACCAGGATGCCGATGATGACTCTGATTCCGGCTTCCGTGGCGCCAACTTTGGTAACAACAACAATAACGCTATATCTTCCGATGTACGGATCGAGAAGAGGAGAGATCAGGAGGAGATAAATGACGGCGTTTTGAAGAGACCGAAGCAATCGACGACGGAGTATCGAAAAGACAGAGAAGAATGGAGCGACGCCGCAATTGGATGTTTATTGGAGGCGTATATGGAGAAGTTGACGCAACTGAACAGAGGGAATCTGAAAGGGAGAGATTGGGAGGAGGTGGCTGCGGCGGTTACCGAGCGATGCGAGAAGCAGAGCAAGAGCGTCGAGCAGTGCAAGAACAAGGTTGATAATTTGAAGAAAAGGTATAAGCTTGAGAGGCATAGGATGAGTGATGGCGGCATCGCGTCGAGTCACTGGCCTTGGTTTAAGAAAATGGAGGAGATTGTTGGAAATTCGCTGCCAGTAAAGGCAGTGGCCGATGAAGATAAGGGCGGCGCTTCCCCAGGAACTGCCGTTAGACAATCCAAAAGGTATATTTTGTCATCATTTCCATTTATTACTATTGCTTGCTATTTGCTAATGTTGCACTTGAATTCTTAAGGTTTCTTTCTTGTTGTTTCGGTGAGCTTCACAAACTGTTGCCAGGGGAAATATTCGATGGTTGGTATGTTAGTATAAAATAATCATTAACAACATAAATTTAGCAGGAAAAATGTGAGCAAAACATTCTTATTTTCGTTCTTTCGTTCTTGATTTTGTTAGTTGTTTTAATGTTGTCAAATTTGAAAAAGGATGGTAGTAAGTACTTAAGGTTAAGGATACTAATATTTGCTAGTTGTTTGTTGATTATATTGTTTTGATGAACTATTTTTGTTTTAGAAGAGTCTTTTATATTCTTGACTATACTTGTAATGACAATATTGATGTCCTAGTTTGTGAGTAAATACCATGTTAGTGTGTAATGTATGGACTACTATGTGTATTTGCTCTTCTTACAATGATAGAAATACCATTGTGGTTGTCTTGTATTTGATGTTTTTTATCAGCAGATATGCTTCAGCTACACCAAGTCCTGTAGGTCAGATAATTAGCATGAAGTCCAAAAGTCCTAAATGGCGCAGAGTGGTATTCAAAATTAGTGGCGCTGCTCTTGGTTGCACTGGTCCTCAAAATATTGACCCAAAGGTTCACCATCAGTTTCTTATATATTTTCAGAAATTTGGATGCCATTATTATCAATATTGAATTCTTTAATAAACTGTTTCTTTCTGATTATCAGGTGGCAATGCTGATTGCTAGGGAAGTTGCAATTGCATGCCACCTTGGTGTGGAGGTAATCATTAATGTGTTTTATTTCTAATGATTGGGGATGCTTACATCCTTTTGACATGCAATGTTTCTTTTTGATGATATTCCAGGTAGCAATAGTTGTTGGAGGTCGCAATTTCTTTTGTGGAGACACATGGGTTACGGCAACTGGTTTAGATAGAAGTACTGCATATCAAATTGGGTATTGTAGTCACAACTTAACCGACAATGGAGTATACTCTTTTTTTATCTGCATACCAAATTTGAATTAATTTTGAAAAAAATAAAGAGATTAATGGTTAAACCTAGGGTGAGGTTTGTAAGGTGAAGCTTGCTGATGTATAGCTGTCATTGTATTGAAACAACTCCCTTTGATAGTTTGATAGTTCTAGGGGTATGATTAAACAATACTTTTGGTTGTTTTTGGATATGGCTTCAATTGGGTGTTATGTGTATGCCTTGATGCCTGTAAGCTTATATCCAACTAAACAGAATAAAATGATGGAATGGGTCACATGAAAGGATCTTAGCTAACAAAGCTTTTTGTTTCTTCTGAATTGACTCTCCTTCTTCACGGCCTGACCATGGCAATGTTATATTATTCTTATTATTGATGGTAAATATGTAGTGGATAGTTAGTATTGGGTTTCCTGCAGAAAGTTATTTGCTAATCCTATTTAGGCAGCTATCTCAAGGAGCACAAAGTTGTGTTTGATGTTAAAATGACATCGATATGGTGTTGGAGAAGGGAGAGATTGGATGCAAACAGCACAAGGAGGATCGAACCATCAACAGTCACAAAATTGATATTAAAAAAAAAACTTGTTTTTCCATATGCTGAAAATTATCCCTTGAATATCTTCTAGATGAATTTGTAGTGCAATTAGTTCCTTCAAGTTCACTTTGTTGTTTGTGATGCTGCTGAATAAATATTTTTATGCACTAACATTTTATGTCTCGTTATTAACCTAACTAAAACCATGACTCTGCAAATTACTGCAGCATGATGGCATCTGTGATGAATTCTATACTACTGCAATCATCATTGGAGAAAATGGGCGTTCAGACCCTTGTGCAAACTGCACTTTCACTGCCGGAGGTTGCAGAACCATACAGTCGACAACGTGCCATCCGTCATCTGGAAAAAGGTAGAGTTGTAATATTTGGTGGCATTGGTGCTGGCACTGGAAATCCACTCTTTTCTACGGACACAGCTGCAGCACTTCGAGCTTCAGAAAGTATGGCTCTGTCTCTTCCCATTTTTTACAATTCAAAATCTTGAACTGTATGTCACTCTCTTTCTGTTCCCTGTTCCGTCTCTGACACAGAATACGTGCACTGATCCACAAGCTGGCACTTATTTCTTTCTTTCTCTTTTTTTGTTTCTCTACATTTGACATGTCTGCTATTTGTTCAGTTCACGCCGAGGCAGTTCTTAAAGGTACGAATGTTGATGGTGTCTATGACTGCCACTCCCAGGACAATAATGCTACATTTGAGCACATCTCCTTTAGAGAGTTAGTCTCTAGAGGTGCCACAGCCATGGACATGATGGCATTAACCTTCTGTGAAGAGAATGGCGTTCCTGGTTGGTATTCTTGTTGCCTTGAATTATATTAGACAAAGATATAAGTTACTAAATATTACTTCTGACACTTCCATAAAGTTGCTGGTCCAACTGATTTAATATTGTGCTTCATGTTTTTATTCCATTTTCTGAATTTTGGGTAGCTGCCGAAGGAAGTTTTTAAGTCTGAGATTACCTTTTGATGTTAAGTATGATCAGTTGAACCCATACAAATTAAATCAATTTACTTTGGTACAGTTGTGGTCTTTAATCTTCTTCAGCCTGGAAACATCTCGAAAGCATTATGTGGAGACCAAGTTGGTACGTTGATTGATCCAACTGGAAGGACAGGCTGATCTAGAAACCCTTATCAGATGCATTTCTAGTTGTTCTGACCATGGATATTAAGTCAATATACTCTAGTAACAACAAGTGTTCCTGTAAATTCGGCTACGTTTTTCTAGGACTGAGGCTTGGATGGATTCTTGACTTGAAGATGATGCTGCTTTAACATCTTTAGGCCAGGTTTTAACCTGCAATGCCCATGCCCGTAACTGATTATTCTCATAGCTAATTGCTTCATTACAATCTGTATTCTAGTATAGTAACAATATCTATTGTATTTAAATGTGTTAGAAATAGTATCAATTTATTGAAACTTTAGCTGTGGTAGATGGTTGCTGCAATGTACCATTAACGATTTACAAGAATACAAGTGATACTGTGAGAGTTTGTAGTTCTCAGGTAATACTCTTAGATTATAATTAGAAGTAGGAAGTTGTCACAAGCTGAAACTTATTAATGACAACTTCTGCCAGAAATATAATTATTTTCAAATTTAAAGATGCATCTCTCAAATTGCTTACAATCTGTATCATTGTTTGTTCTGAGATTTCAATAAATAGAAGGGTGAGAAATGATGCCATGAAAACGTCTCTCTGCACAGTATTTTTGAAGCATTTATGCATATACCAGGAATGGTGATTTCATTCTGCAATCCTTCCATTTTCTGTATATTCTAAACCGTGTGCATGATAATACTAATCAAAGCTCATTAGATATCATTTGCAATAGTTATTGTGTACTGACAGGATGTTATCAATAATCCAACAGAAGGGAATAAACCCATTGATGGAGCTTGAGTTCTTATCAAGAAGTTCCAAATGGTGGAACTGAGTGCAAATAATGATAGATGGTGAGGATTATGTTGCCTTTCAGATAATATAGGAGAATCAGCTTGAATTGAGAAGGAAAACATTGGCTACAATCCAATGCCTCCAAAACCTTAGGGTTCCTCTATAAGGTTCGGCGGTGAGGCTGAAAGGTATAGTGATGAATAACAGGTGAACAATCCAGCGTAGTCGAAGGAAAAATGGTGAATATTTTTGTAATGCCTCCTCTATGGTGTTGGATAGAATCAGCGGATGACTATGATTTATGAAAAGTTTGGGTTCTGTAAGGAAGAGGGACATCTGTGACTAGTGATTACGGCTGGGATTCAAAGGTTTTCTTTTTTGAAGACCTTTGGGGTTTAAAAGTCGATAATTGTTGACAGATTCCTTTGCCACTGCTATTATGTTGCCACATTGAGCAGAACACGATGATAAATTGATAATGAGTAATTAAGATGGAAAAATCGAAGACAGCTTGAGCAGTACATGAAATGGCGTAGTGTATTTTACTATCACGCAGTTCTTTTGTTGGTTGACCAGCTTTGAGGTGCTGGAAAACTGTTAATGGCGGAAATCATGGACAATAGTTAATGATTCTAGTAAGAAATAAATCCTGTCCTCTGGTGCTGGTCAAAATGCCTCCATCTAATCAGTTTTTAAGCCCTATGACAATCTGAGTGCCCTTCTTCATCTGATCCACGCCCATGATACTTAAAACAAGTTGCTACTTATGACTTGACTTATGGGAGAGGACAAGGATCTTTTGGCCTAATGCAGGCTGAATTTTGAGGAATCTTACTTCCACAGGCGAGGAAATGTTGCATATTTTTATTATCACTTACACAGCCTTCCAGCGAACAGAATTAAGCCACCAGATGCAAACAGAGCAGAAAAGGTTAAATACTTTCAAGATTGAGTTTGGTGTGGATACAATTAATAAACTAATTCAAAATGTCAAAATTACATTACAGAGCTTAGTTTAAATGCAACTATCTTGGTTGCCTAGTGTGAAGATCAGCAGTGATCTTCTTAGTTCTTACCATCAACAACGAGATACACAAGACTTACAGATATTACAAAGAAACACGAGGCAAACAAAAGGATCTAAGGAAGAACCAGAAAGGGTGATAATCTGCAGCGAGAGATCATGCAGATAAAAGGAAAGAAGATGATAAAGCGTCCACAGAACAAATTATTGGCAATGAAAAGATCAGTCGGCAGCCAGTCCATCTTCAGTGGTAGGAAGGGAAGGTGAAAGTGAATTGCGTGATTCATCATAATCCTCCCCTAAAGGAGACTGTTCCACCCTGATATCCTCAATCATTTTAGTTACTTCTGCCATTGTTGGCCTCTTTTCTGGCTGTGGAACCACACAGGCTAACCCCACATGAAGCATTGACACAAGTTCCTCCTCGATGTTTTTGTACCTTAAAAGTTCTTGATCAAACACCTCTGCCGTCCACTCTTCCTTAACGACTGATCGAACCCATTTCGGAAGATCCATTGCCTGTTCTTCTTCCTCCACTCGAGGACGTGTTGGTGAAGGATACTGTGATGGAGCTCTCCCTGTAAGCACTTCCAACAACAAAACCCCAAAACTATAAACATCAGCCTTTTGAGACAGTCTCTTTACTTCGGCTTGCTCAGGGGCCCTATATCCACCTAATCTTGCTATAGCATGAACAGGGTTTAAAAGCAGAGACAACCCAAAATCAGAAATCAAAGCAACCCCATTTTTGTCAAGAAGCACATTCGAAGATTTCACGTTTCCATGTGGTATTTTTGGTGCATTATACTCTTCATGAATCTTTGCTAATCCTCGAGCTGCCCCTAACACCAGGCTGATCCTTGTAGTCCAATCCAATGGAATCCTCCCTGGTCCTCTGTTTCCTGTTTTCAAACATAAAAAGAAAAGAATTACATACCTAAATCAGCAAAATATATATATATATATATATGTAAGAAGAATTTATTGGATAATTCTCAATGCATTCAATGAAATTATTTCCTCAAATGAAGACCTACCATGAAGAAGTGAATGCAAGCTTCCATTAGGGAGATAATCATAAACAAGAAGCTTCTCCTCTTTAGCATAATAGTAAGCCCTCAGTTTCACAATATTCGGATGCTTAACCTTCCCAATCACATCCATATACTGTTCAAACTCCTTCCTTGGACAGGGATTCGCATCCTTAAGCCTCTTGACAGCGACAGTACACCCATCATCAAGCACCGCTTTGTAAACTGTTCCCAAGCTCCCTTTCCCAAGCATTTCCGCCGAAGCTTTCAACAAATCCTCCAACTCAAACTGCTTCCTTCTCTCAAAAAACACAAGCTTACTCCTATCCGTTCCATTTGTTCCATCACTGTCCGCTTCCCCATTTAAATAAACTTTCTTTTCACTTCCGTAACTACTTCCACTTCTCCTCCTTTTCCCACTATCACTACCCGCTTTCGAAACATTCTCTCCCCTGTTTCTTCCACAGTAATAAGCCACAGCAAAAGAAACCACCACCAAAAACACCACACAATTTGCTACTACAATTGCAACTATAGCACCTGGGCTTAACCCTTTACGTGCCTTATCTTTGTCTTGTCCGATGATTGGTGTCTGCGGCATTGAACTCGGGTTCGATTGAACTGTCTGGTTCGATGAATCCACCGGTGGAGACCCAGTAAAGGAACAAACAGGCAATGGACTTGGCCCACAAAGCCCTTCATTTCCTGTAAAGCTTTGTTCACTGAATTTTTTCAATAAACTTTCCGGTAACCGTCCGTAAAACTCATTGTTGGTTAAATTAAGCTCTTTTAAGTTTTTAAGGGAAGAAGAAAAATCTGGGATTTGGCCTGTTAATGCATTGTTTTGGAGCCGGAGAGTAATGAGCCGGTTCAAACCGGAGATCTCTTTGGGAATGTTGCCACGTATGTTGTTGTTGGATAAGTCTAGGCGGAGTAGCCGTTTGAGCAGCGATATTTGCGGGGAGATTTCACCAGAAAAATCATTGTCGGAAAGATAAACGAGTTTAAGGTTGGTACAGTTGGTTAAGGGTGAAACGCTGCCGTTCAAGCGATTGTCGTGGAGGTCGAGGATTCGGAGCTGGTCGAGGAGGGAAAGGGAGGTGATGGGACCACGGAGGAAGAGTGAAGGGAGTGATAAAGCGGTGACTCGGCCAGTTGATGAGCAAATGACTCCACGCCACGTGAAGGAACAGGCGTCATGGCCGGTCCAGTTGGAGATGAGGCTGCCATGGGTGTCAGCTTGGAGGCGGAAGAGAGTGAGGGCATTGGTGTCGTTTGGAGAAGGAGGAGAGGAGAAGGAAAGACGAAGAAGAGAAAGGAACAGACTGGAAAGAAAGAAGAAGAGAAATTGATAAGAGAATTTCATTGTTTGGTTCTTTGAGCGGGAAGAGCAAAGGAAAGAGTATTTTTTTAAAAAAAAAACACTACTCCACCAAATGCATTTTGTCTCTCTATGAAAGAGAGATCTGTGAGGTTTTTGGATGTTGAAGGAATGATTGAGATGGGGAGGTGGAGGATGCTAAATTTTTTCATTGTCTTAAAAGATGGAAATATGATTAAAGGTGAGTGACAATAGAAAATGGGAATTGGAGTAGGAGGGTGGTTGAGTCAATGATTGCTGTTCTCCACTCCTTAGTAATGGAATGAGTAAAAGGCTTTCAAATTCAGAAGCTTCACTTTTTTTCTATCTAAACCTTTTTCCCATGAGCAATTGGTAAAATTGGGTATCTGTAATTCTTGCATGGTTGGGATTCTAAAACTATGACAGTGTGGGGATCATGAACCATGAGCTTCATGACATGCTTTTTATTATAGATTGGATATCATTTCAAGAATTTCTTTCTTTTCTTTTACCAAAGTTGCAATGCATGAGCTATTGGTAAAATGTATTGCTAGTTACTGCAAGTCCATTTCTGGGGACCTATAATCCGTTATTAAGCTAGTATAGAATTCTTTCATCTTTTTAGCCTTGAAAAAGAAGATGAAAGCACAAATACGCCAACCAAACTGAAAGCTTCTGCTTCTTTGAAGTTCCTACTTCTGAATTATACTTGAGAAAAACAAATCCAATGTGTACTTTTACAGGGGAAATAAGCTGCTGGATGGTGAGTATCCTATTACCTGAAAACAAAAGAAAAATGCTGCTGAGAGCTGACCATAAGCTGTATGTATCCGTGAATAACCAATTAATTCCTTTATTTATTCCCAAGTTTTTCATCAAATCTTGACCACAATTTTCCGCAGACAAAGAAGTAGGACAATGAAGAATTTCTAGCCTTCAACCATATCTACACGAAAACTTCTGCAAGTAAATGGGAGTAATGCTTTACAGATGTATGGCATTTGTTTCAGTCAGAGATCTCTATGGTTAAAACTCACCAAGATTTGATTATCATGCCTGCTTTGCTTATATCCATTTCTGTTTTTCCCACTACACTCTTTAATTGCGAGAAAAATGTTTTATACTACAGAAGATTTCATATGGTGTCGTTTGTCGGTGCCTTCTCAGCGGATGAACTTTTCTCATCTTATTATGGTCGCATGACTGAAAAGGTAAAAAGTAATATCATTAAATTATTAGCCTTCTAAAGTATATGCATACCAATTTTCTCATGATTTTAGTTAATCTCTTGTTTGACCTTGGAAAATACTGCATAATCGGCCGCCTAAGACAAACTACTGATATTCAAACAACTTCAAAATCTTCCCTCTGGTTTTAATATAAAATAAAATACTACTACCATGTATGGACATATTGGTCAGCAGGAACTTTCTTGTCTTTATATTTTCTGGGCTTGAAAATCAAATCAAAAGCATCCAAAAATCACCCAAATCTTCATAGCCCCAATTGCATCATGGACCACTAGCTATAGTAACAGAGGTATATGCATCCTTGTTTTTGAATTATTGTAATGCTCATTGTGGAGCTCTATAGTAGTAATATTCAAGTTTAAGAGGCATGATCTTGATCTACTCTTTCTTTGGAGAACTTTTGGATGTTTATTCTTAAAAGAAGAGAGAGAGAGAGAGAGAGAGAAGAGTTTATGAGATTTATCATCTGGTCCCTTGCTTTGCCTTTGGTTAAATTGAGAAGGAAAAACCTTGCAACTTTAAGTCGTAAGAAAGCAAAGTTGCTGACACATTCCATTGGGTGATGAGCAGGATTAATAAAACAAATTAAAGCAAAAACATGACTGAACTTCTCTCCTAATAACCTTTGATGCTTCTCCTTTATGTACAACTGCCAAATCCATTTGTCTATACAGCATCTAAATGAGAGAGTCCCATTATAACTCCAGTTTAGAACCTAATAGCTAGCTGTTATTGTAACTCCCAGGTGCCCTTTGGCTGCCTTTAATCCTGTCTAAATTGGATAAAGACTGATAAAAGCATAGAAATTGGTTCTTTTAATGCTTGGAAAGAACAAAGAAGGTCATCCATTTCTAACCCTTTTCAGCAAAGGCTGATTCTCCACTGATTTGCCTAACAAAACTTTCAGCTGGAGGAAACCCAGTTAACTCACTACTAATTATTTCCTGATAAAACTATGTCAAATCTGCCATGCAGGGACTTGGAAATGAGCCAATGAGCTACCTTTTTTTTTGGTAGGGTAAATTCTTAACAAAATTTACAAAACCAGCATAGGAAGTGACTGAGAAATTTCATTGTATTACAGACTATTGACTTGTTTGCAATGGTGAAAAATGCATTTACCAAAATGAATCATGCTTGTAAAAAATTGCATAATTGGTGGAAAAATGAAAAGCCACATGGTGGGACCTTTGGGGTACAAGAAACAGAGTGATGGATGTCGTTAAAAGAGAGAAAAACTGGAAACACCTTACAGCTTTTTTATATTTACACATTACGAGTTCAATAGCTTATTTTTGCTTTTTATAACGAAACGTGCATAAAGGAAAAAGAGGAGAGATTGAAGGCGGGATTGTCGTCTGAATTTTCATTTCCTTTCATTTCACTCCACTCATCCAAAGGTCAGCTAATGGGCCAAAACTCTCATGAAAACGTTTTTCTTTTGTCTCTCTTTTTTTTTTTAATTTTTATTTCCACCCTTTATTCTTGATTGCATGAGCCATTTGAAAATGAAACCAAGTCAAAAAATATTTGGGTATTTGGTTGTTTTGGAAGTGTCTGGCTGGGCTCAAATAAATCCAAAGCAGAAGATTGGGTTATAATTTTCCACTCGGCTTTTCCTTTAGATTACATGAGGGCAGACGCCGGGCAGTTTTTTTTGACTCATGGGATTCAGTGGATGGCTGTACATTTTTTAAAAACACTTCTAAAAATTTATAAAATTTACAAACTCATTACGCATAAAATGTTGTAGAGTAATGGAATAACATTCAAAGGAACGGATTTCCTAAGCGTTTTTGTCAAATTTTTTATAAAAGAGATTATATTGTAAGCATAAAAGCCATTTTTCTTTATCCTCAACCTTTTAACTTAATAGTTAAAAATGTTTGAGAGGATATCAAAGATCTGATTTCGAATCAAGTTTCTTTTCTTCTCTTTACTTATACTAGAGTTTTGCTCTCTTGATGTAACAAAAAAATATTTTTTCATTTATAATTCATCTTTTTTTATGATCGAAGTTGAATTCATTATGAATCTTAACGATTTTTTATTAGTAAACGGTATTAGTAAATTTTTTTTTTTATAGATTGATGGTTTTTTTTGTTTTTAAAATGAAATAATTTTTTTTACTTTTAAATTAAAAAAAAAAGTTAAACTTGTTTTATCAAACATAAATAAATAAAATGCGATAAAAGTACTATTTTGAATTGTTTTTACATGGATTTCATGGTGTTATGTTTTTGTTTAAAGACGATGTAGCGTAACATTTGTCATCTTGTTAGGAAGAAAATCGTCATGATCAAGAAGTTTGTCCTCATATATTAATATATACTTGGCAAATCAATTTACTACTTGTTTTTTTCCTACACAAGGATTGAAAGAATATAATCTAATCCTTGTTCTTATCAAATCATGTAAAATTAAAACGGAAATGATCAAGTAACCAGTCGTTATTCTTTAAGAAAAAAACAGAATATTTTTAAATTATAATTTTTTTTATTAATTCACCTACATAATACATTCACTAATTAAATAATATGTTTGTGTAATTGTAATTGATAAAGAGAAGTAATAACTCTTCTAATCACAGCATTTTGTTATTCTTTCACCTAACATATTTAGTAATTTTGTATAATATAAGCAGAAACAGTAATATTTAGCTTTTCCGAAGGAAAAAAGTGATAATTCTTTAATATCTATTTTTTATTAATTCATCTAATACATTAATTAGTAATTAAATAACATTTTCCTACAATTGATAAGGAGAAATTCTTTTTTTTTTCCATGAATTAAAAAGTTATTATTCTATGAGTTACAACTTTTTTATATTCTTACAGCTAATATATGCAACAACTTAATAATAAAATTTTGGATTAATAGCATACGTGGTTTCTAAATTTTGATTTAAATTTTATTTGAATCCTTAATATTTAAAAGTTTTAATTGAATTTTCAATTGCTTAAAATTATTTTATTTTGATTTCTTCGTTTATGAAATTGCTTAAAATGACAGTAAATACCAACTGGTGTCATATGAATAACATTAGCTAACATTTCAAACGGCAACGAAGAGACCAAAATAACATTAGCTAACCCTTCATGTATATATGTATATGAAGGGTTAAAACTATATATATATATATATTATATGAAGGATTCAATTATCTAATTAATCTCACTTACTAATTTATAAGAGAAGGGATTAATTTACATAATGTAAACTTTTTTTAATCATTGATTTAAATAGATGTAAGAGATAAAATTAAACCCTTTTTTTCCATTTTTATTTGTCTTTCATTTCTTGGTTTCATTAAAATCAAATGTGAAAAAAAATGTAAAACTAAAAAAATTTTACGCCGTGCAAGTTGATCTCTTCTTAATTTATAATATATAGATAAAATAGTTTATATTTGATATGTATATATAATCTCGCTAATTTATAATAAGATATGTTATATATTATTTGTGAACTACATAATGATACATCATAAAAAATTTAATTTTAAAATTTTAAAATCTAAAAAAATGCACTTAATCCTAAAAATATTTTAAAATAATTTTTTAATAAAACATCATTATATAATTCATTAACCGTATATAATGTTATAAACTAATAATATATAATTTTATACATTAATAATATATCAAATATATATCATGTATATAAATTTTAAGTTCTTGTATGGCTAAATATGGATAGTGAAGTGATCATCGGAAGTAGCCAATGCAAATTGACTCCTCAAATATTTAAGAAGAAAGCTCTGGCAAAGGATTTTTTAGCCTGTCCATGTTAGATAAACATCCATTGGTTTTGTCGATTTAAAACATATAAAAAACTGGGTATAACTCCAAACGTTCGGCAGTTCTATATGAAGTTAATCTGCTCACAGACAAAACATGATACGAATTCTTCTAAGCCTTACATGCATAAATTTGTCATAACCATCCACAACCTACTATATATACAATGAAATAGAGTTTATTATCATTAGCCACACAAAAAAAAAAAAAAATGGAGTACGAAATTTTGGGTTTGGTAGTAGTCGCTTCGCTATGGATTGCATGGGCAATAATGGCGAAGGAGCGCCAGCATTGGGGTTTGGAGAAACCGGGGCAGCTTCCACGAGGGCCAAGAAGGTGGCCTATGGTTGGCAACATTTTCCAATTAGGTTGGCCACCGCACGTATCTTTTGCGAAATTGGCTAGTCAGCATGGACCTATCATGACTCTTTGGCTAGGTTCAATGTGCACCGTGGTCATCTCATCCAAAGAAGTGGCTCGTGAAATGTTCAAGAACCATGATGTGGCGCTTGCAGGGCGAAAAATGTACGAGGCAATGAAAGGTAATCACGGCAATGAAGGGTCTATCATTACAGCTCAATATGGTCCCCAATGGCGGATGCTGAGACGTTTATGCACCTCAGAATTGTTCGTAAGTAGTCGTCTCGATGCTATGAAGGGTGTAAGAGAAAAATGCATAAACCAAATGGTTGAATTTGTAGGAGATGCTAGCGCTTTTGGAAGCAATGCCATTGACATTGGGAGATTCTTCTCCTTAATGGCTTTTAATCTCATTGGAAATCTCATGTTTTCAAAGGATTTATTGGATCCGAAATCGGAGAGAGGAGAAAAATTCTTCTACCATACAGGAAAAGTAATGTAGTTCGCTGGAAAGCCAAATATATCAGATTTCCTGCCAATTCTAAGAAGGCTTGACCCGCAGGGTATAAGGAGGAAAACAGAGTTTCACATTGAAAAAGCCTTTGAAATTGCAGGTGAATTCATCAAAGAAAGGATGGAAAAAGGATATAATGAAGGCCAGAAAAAGGATTTCTTAGATGTACTACTGGAGTTTCGTGGTGATGGCATAGAGGAACCAGCCAGGTTTTCTTCAACAACCATCAATATCATTGTCCTGGTGAGTCATTTCTTTAAAAAATTCAGCAAATTTGCCTTTTAATAATCTTTCTTTCACATCCAATCTCAATTAACATGGCTTGATTTGCAGGAGATGTTCACTGCAGGGACTGACACAACCACGAGCACTTTAGAGTGGGCTATGGCTGAGCTTCTACACAACCCAAGAACACTCAAGAAAGTGCAGACTGAGTTGAGAAGGGCTGTCAACCCGGATAAAAAACTTGAAGAAAAGGATATCGACAAGGTGACTTACCTTAAAGCAGTCATTAAAGAAACATTAAGACTTCATCCACCACTTCCGTTCTTAGTACCACACATGGCGATCAACTCTTGCAACATGTTGGGTTACTATATTCCCAAAGAAACACAAATTTTAGTCAATGCTTGGGCCATTGGTCGAGACCCAAAAACATGGGATGAACCATTAGTTTTCAAGCCAGAGAGGTTTTTAGAGCCTAACATGGTGGATTACAAAGGACACCATTTCGAATTCATACCATTCGGGTCTGGTCGTAGGATTTGTCCTGCAATTCCTCTTGCCTCTTGTGTGCTTCCATTGGCGTTGGGATCTTTGCTACACTCTTTCGATTGGATCTTGGCTGATGAGCTTAAGTCTGCGAATATGGACATGACTGAACGAATGGGAATAACACTTAAGAAATTTGTTCCCTTGAAGGTCATACCAATGCCTTATAGGGGTCGTCATTGATGGCTTGTTAAAATTGGGCTGTTACAAATAAAACATGTACAATTTTAAGGTCTGTTGAAGACCAATATTAAGTCATGTTGTGACTTTTAAGCTTGTACAGAAACTAAGCTTAATGAAAATTTCCTTTTTTGGCTATATGATGCTCCTATAAAATCTTAAGAGAGAGAAATGACGATTACTATTTTTTTGGCCAAATGATGTTTGAATATATCAATTTTAAAAGTAAAATTTTATTTATTTTATTTCAACTATTCAGATAATTAATAAGGAAATACATAAAAAAAACTGCTTTTTTTTGTGAAAAATATAGAATAGACATATAGTGCTTATTTATAAGTTTATATTTGATATCCTATCAGTATATAAAATTTATATAATGTTAGTAAATCGGATGATTACACCTTATTAATAAAATAAATCAAATAATGTCACTTCATTATGAGTAAGTTTAAAAAAATATTAATTTTTTGTAAATTTATTTTAAGGGCTGATATTTACTAGTTAGCATTATCTGATTTATTAATAGTGTATACAATTTATACAATGACAGTACATCAAATATAAACTCGTTATTTATATGCTTAATACATGTCATTTAAATAAACTCTAGCATACATGAATTTGGTATGCTTCATACAAGATTGATAAAAAAAAAAAAAACATAATTTAAGGATAAAAAATTTGTAAGTGCTAAAATTTGAATCCTAAATTTACTAAATATCGCCTTTTAAAGATGTTTGCATTAATCAACTGAATTAAGTCTCGAGTTCAATTTCAAAATATTTTATTTATACTTACAAAATAAATAAAAAAAACACTTTTTAAACTTAGAATGAAAAGAAAAGTTGCATCATATACTAATAAAAAGACAAAAAAGAAAAGAAATGTGATTAGACTAAGGTTATGTTTGGTGTATAAAATGATAATTATCTTATATTATTTTTATTTGTATCTAAAGAAATGGATAGGATTACAAAAGGATTATCATCTTCTTTGTATAAGATGATTCAATCTTTCCAAAGTGAAAATGATTATTTTTAATATATGGGATTGAACTTATATATTCTGTTATACCTTTAAAATTATATAAGTAATTTAAATTATATAAATTTTGAAGAATGATAATTTTGATCAATAAATAAATTATCCTATCTTAATTTTTGCATACATCAAACATAAGATAAGATAATATTATTTAATCTAATCCTATTTATAATATCATCTTATCTTATTCTATCACAATCTTATATATCAAATATGTATAGGATGATGGATATAATTATATGATAATCACTCTATATTATATTTGACTTGTATCCAATTGAAAGGGATTACAAGGAGAATTATCATCCTATTGATATAAAATGATTCAATCCTCTCAAAGTAAAAATGATTATTTTTAATCCAATGAATTAAATTTACATATCTTATTATATTCTTAAAAATTATATCAATAATTTAGATTTAATAAACTTTGAAAAAAAATAATTTTGACTAATAAATATTTTATCCGATTTTAAACCTTGCACATATCAAACATAAAATAGGATTATATTATTTAATCTAATCATATTCATAATATCATTTTATCCTATCCTATCATAATTTTATGTACTAAATATGACATAAATTCGTTAGATATCACTTTTTAAATATGTATGAATAAATAAACTAAATTCAGTTTTGAGTTCAATTTTAAAATATTTTATTTATACTTGCAAAATAAAAAATAAAAGAGAATATTTTTAGCTTAAAAAGAAAAGAAAAGTTGCATCATATAATAATAAAAAGACAAAAAAGAAAAAGAAAAGAAAATGTGATTGGAATGGAGTGAGAGGAAACGGTGGCTGATGTTGTCTCAAATCAAGACGGCTTAACAGAAAATACGGTTCAACATTAGAGTACAAAACTTTTGATTTTTGTCTCTACATGTTTGTTAAACTAGGGAATATTTTTCTTTTTGTTTTTTTTTTTTGTTTTGTTCTTACTGGAATAAACTCGGGAGTAAAGGAAGGAAAAAAAATCCTGAAGGATCTTGCAATACGTATGGAATAAATATTCATTAGTAAATGTGTTAATATTTATTTTTCCATATTATTTGTGACATTGAATTCTCTAAATACCAGTTATAATCCATAGATTTTTTATAAAAATATTTTTTGAAATACAAAAATTGAAAGATATTTTTTAAGTACATTGAAGAAAAGGTTGGTTAAGATAGCAAAATTCCAAATTTATCTTTTATGATATAATCTAAAGTAACGTATAAAACATTGATTAATTATTCATGAGTTGAATTTGTAGCTTCTGACTCACATTTTTTTAATATAAAAAGATTACAGTTTGGAATTTAAAATATATATAAAATTGACCAAAACTATTTGGGATATCTCGTACCCAAAGAGATTGGAAGAGACCCAGAATCACGGAGGAACCATTGACATTTCTGGCTACTTTGCTACATTCCTTTGACTGGGAGCTTGGGAGCAACATCACTCCAGAGGCTATGGACATGAATTAAATGGTGGGGATAACAGTACGAAAGCTCATACCATCGGAAGCAACGCCCAAGAAGCGTGTCATTTATGCAAAGATTAATTGTTCAGAGCATTAATAAGTACTTTGAAGAATCCTCTGCAACAGACAAACTAATATGGTGGGATGGGCAAAAACACAGTATGTTGGTAAAACAAAAATAAGCTACCAAAGAAGCTTATCGGACCTACAGTTTTATTGGTACAGATAAATTCCAAGTACTAGTAAATATCCTAGTATCTTTTTTTAACACATAGCCCAGGTCAACCTACAAGAAAAAAGAACCAAAGCAGAATCCCATCACTCAGGAAAAAATATCGACATGTCAGACGCTACAACATCAATGTCACCATAGCCTTTTTGTTTTTAAAGAATAGTTACTCGCAATTATGAGGTACCAGGGTTCGAAATAATAGCATTTAACTAACAGCAATAAAGTGCTAAACATACTAATTCAGCATGTAATGCTTGAGTTATGCCAATACTCCGACGAGACCAAGGTGAGTTCATGTTACTGTAAGTAATATGCGTTACAAATGGCTAGCTACCCAAATTCATCAACTATATAAACAAGTTAGAGAATCTATCAACTGCAAATGAATAAGTATATTAACAAAGGCTTGCTCCAAACAAGATGCTATGAGTTTAACATAACACTCAACGTAGTACCTGGACAATGGGATAAATTTCTTCTTTGCTCTGGACGTTAAAATGAAGCCTCATGGAGGCATTCAGCATTGCTACAGGAAGTTAAAGTGTTATCTTATGTCATCCCTTTTGAGCAAATATTGGGAACAGCTGCTGCCAGCAGATTCCTGTATAGCTTTTTCATTGTGTGCTCTACCAATCCTACAGACATAATTAAGGCCCACAAGAAGCTCGGTAATAGCCGCTTCAGTTTTTGCTTGATTTGCAAAGTGTAGCGTCTGTACCAAAAGTACATTTGACCTGGAAACCAGATGCTGTTCCTCAAAATTACGCTCGGACTGCCACCTAATCATATTGTGAGCAAGAGGAGCCAGCCATTCCAATATCCGCACTAGTGCCAGGTTCCACTCTGCTGCAAGCGAAGCATCATAGATGAAAGAAGCCAAAGTCGTCACATATGACTTCAGTTTAACACACACAGCATTTCTCATAGTTGTAGGTAACATATTGTACAGGTCATCTCTTGCATCAAGGCCAATCAACTGAGGTGATGAAACTAGTTTCTCTATCAAAATAATCACATTTGCATAGCGGAGAGATAAAGCAGCATCACCAAGTGTTGATGTAGGAGCACTCAACAAGCGCTTGGTATTGAAAATGGATAATTTAGAATATATTTTATTGCTGCAGGACAGTGACTCCATCTTTGAATTGTTTATTTTGTCAATATTTTTAGTGCAAGCACCACTGAACCTCATAGATCCGGTGCCAATTGGCTTGCAGCTCTCTAAAATGGGAGAATTGCTTCCAGCTGACATGCATCCTTTAAAAGTTCCAACAGCAACATGACCTGACCGTTTCGTTTTTGAATGTGGCTGCTTGCCATGTAAAGCAGAGGACTGATAATGAGATTGTAGATGCTTGCTATTGGTTCGATGCTTGCCAGTGATCTGCACAGACTTTGAAAATGACCTGCCAAGAGGTCCAGAGGAGAACCCACATAGATTATTATCAGAAGGATATACTGAAGATGGCATTAGAGTGGAAAAGGAATGGCTGCGTGAAAGACAGTCACTATTAATAGATTCAAAATCATCATTCCCATTTACAGATGCCATTTGGTTGGTCCCAAAGACATTTTTTATCCTCTCAAGTATTGTTAAAAGTGATCTCAACAGAAGCCGGACAATGTAATCATAAGTTCTAACCCATGGAGACATCTCACGTAGATTTTTTACTTCCTGACGCTGCCACATTACCTTCTGTTGAAACTCAAGTAATTTCACCCGATCTGACTCCGCATTTCTCTGCATCCTCCTGAGAGTTTGCTCAAGTTCTGCCAGCACTTCCAACTCTTGAGTCAACTGCAATGTAACTGCAACAAATCTCTCCATTTTCTTTACTTTCCTCTCCATCTTCTTCCAGCGATATTCCCACCCAAACCATTCAAAATTGTTCAAAATTGGATCTTTTATGAAATCTTCAAAACGGTGATACACAGGGTCAGTGCACTTCTTCCCAAGCCTGGCCACAGACGTAGCCAGATTTCCAAAATTCTCAATTACCTCATTCAGTGCAAGATCCATAAGGTAATTTTCATCATCAGATATAAGCCTTTGAATTCCAATCGAGTTTGTAATCTCTTCCCTCAACTTCAAGATCTCCCTATCATCCAAAGAATGCCATAAATTCACCACCTTAGACATCAAACTGGCAACTTCAAAAGCTAAGATTCCAAGCACCACCTTGTCAGTACTCTCTGAAGCACTCCTCCTTGGATTCCACCATGAACTGCTAAACCACGACTCAATCACCATCTCTCGTCCCATAACCCAATATACTACAGATTAAGCACTAATCAGACATTCTCAAAACCTCTTACAATCCCTGTATTGGAGCATAAAATGGCACAGATCAGACCACTACGTCCACTAAAATTGAAAGAACTCAAGAATACATAAACATAGCATTCTTCTAGTGTAGACAAAATACACAAAATAGGAAATTCAAATTCTAAATTTTATCAAATTCTCACTAGTTTAGGCCTTTTCAAACACGAAGCACTTACCAATAAATAATTAATGAGCTACATCAAGCAATCATCCCCACTACATAAGTTGGAAAAGTAAAAGTCTTAAAATTTTCAATGTTTCTCCCATATTTCCCAATTTATATACTATTAAACAGCCCAATTCAGAGAAATTGACACCATACGGTAATTTGCCATGTTAGATTCTTTATAGAAAGTAGCAGCTCAACGCATTAATTAACTAACAGATTCACTAAAAAGAAAAAACAGATCCAAAAAAAAACAAAAACCCAGAATTTACAAGTGCAAAAAAACAAGAATGCAACAATTAAACCAGTTAAATTACAAATTATAAACTTACAGGGGTAAAAAGGTTACATCCAGAAAAGCAACACTGAACCGAAGAAGGATGAAAGAAGAGGACTTGGTTTAGTATCCAACAGCTAAAACCGCGGCCACTAACTGACAGGAGGAAGAAGCAGAAGAGGTTATAAAGGTGAAGAAGATAAGGAAGAGACAAAAGGAGACAGAAAACACTAAATCGGTCAGACCGAGGATAAAAATGGAAACCCAAGTTGGGATAAATTTTGGGTTCATGCTTCTTGTTATAAAAGTTGATGCTGTCCGTTAGGGGATGGAAAAAAATAAATAAATAAATATTTATTGGAAGTTATAGTTTTTATTTAAATTCAATCGAATTAAATTTAAATATTAAACATATATTAAGTTAGGTCAAATTTTAAATTAAAAAATAAAATATAAAAAAATTGAATCGTATTAAATTATATATTTTTATTAAATTTTAAATTTTTTAAAATTTTTATAAAATAAAATATTATTTTATATAAAAATTTATTTAAATATATTAAAAATTATATTATAATAATATATAAAAATAAAAAAATAAAATTTCAAATTTGATAAATGAAATCAAACCAAATTAATAGAATTCAATTTAAATCAAATCATACAAAAATTCAAATTGAATTTAAATTATATCTTAAAAATATATAATTTTATATAATATTAAAAAAAATCAAATTAAATTTAATCCGATTTAAATCGATATCACCTTATCTTTTTAGAGGATTGCTTTCACCTTATTGCACGTTAATCTCAATTCTCACTTTGAAGGGCATATGCGATTTCATAAGTTAAAATATCATATGGAAAACGGTTTCGAAGATTACAAATTTGTACCTATTCTAGCGTTGGAATTGAATTCAATTTCAATGAGCTCCAAAGCATATTGTTTCTGCATAATAATAACAATAATAATAATGTAACTTTCAGGCAAAGAAAATTTAATAAAAGAGAGAGAGAGGTATTAAAAATTTTTAGCAAATGTGACCCACTTTTTATTTCATGAGAGTCTATTGTGTTAGATTAGAGTTAAAAATTAAATTGATTAATCATGAGTAGTTAGAACATGGAAAACAAACAAAGTAGTTGAAATATTAAATGGATTTTGATTGTGAAAAGATTGTCTTTAAATTTCAAACATTTTTCTTGCCAACTACTTTGACAAAGCATAAAGATGTTCAAAAAGAAAAAGGGCAAAACCCACATAAATATTGTTTTATATTAGTATTTTTTTAATATTAGTTATTTGTTTATTTGACTCCTTTCCCTTGACAATAGGGCCAACTTCTTTCTTTTTTTTTTTCTTTTGGGTTTACTTTGCATTTTTTTTTTCTAATAAATTGAAAGATTTGTCCATACTACTCAAAATTTATGAGTAATTTATTCATTTAGTAAAAATTTTGTTCAAATAAAGACTAACATGTGAAGTCCAATGGGTTGCTCTGACTTTTACCATTTTTCACTTGTTTATTGTTAACTAATATAATAGTACAGTGTCAACAAATAGAATCCATCATCAATGATGTTATCAACCATAAATTATAATTCTTATAGTGCTAAAAATAAATGGTAGTCACTTTCTGACTTTCTATATATTCACACGTTATTCATTATTATAGGTTCTTGGGTGTTACTATTGCCATTAATCATTGATGGTTATTAAATCATCCTCATTAATAACTATAATTGTTGCATTAGTTTAGATTCATGATCAATCACTTGTAAAAGAATCCAATCTCTCTTTATCTATAGCTGAAAGTTAATTACTCGAAATTTAAATTTAAATTTAATTAATTTAGATAATAACTAATGTATTAGTTGTGTAATGCACAAATTATCTTATTTTATTAATTTACTTTTAATTAATTATTTTTCAATTGTAACTGAAACCATTTTTTTAGGATATTTAGTTTGTGATGTATTAAGTTAAAAACTACTTATCATTTAATCTAGTTATTTGTTATCTATTTAATAAAATAAAAATAAATAATTTATGTGTGTAAAAAAAATTTATCTTTATGATGACACGTAAAATAATTTCTAAATTTATCTTAGTTATCAAATAAATATATTTAAAAATTATTAGTTATTCAAAATTTTAAATTTTAAAAGAAAGACAAAATCATATATATCTAATTATTTATGCTTGAAATTAATTTATAGTTAAAATACAAAGGAAAAAAATCTTATAAATCATGGTTAATTATAATGTTATTTCAAAAATCACAAATTATTTTTTTAATTTCAATTGTTTTTCTCTTGCCAAATAATCTAATCCACTTTAAGTATGATAATATTATTTATCATATAAAAAATATATATTTTATCAATTAAATCTTAGAAAGTTAGATAAATAAATTAATTCAATCAAACTAATTAAAATAAATTAAGAAAATACTTATTTCTAAATCCATATTTATGTTTGATTAATGAATGTTTTTCAAAATTTAAGCAAAGGAAATAAAAAAAAAAAAACGCAAATGGATCATAATTGAATATAATTGCTTAATTTTATTAAGAAGTAAGCATGTTCGTTAGTTGGATAATGGGTCAGGTTTACGATTTTATGCATAACTTTTTAAGTATGGATTAAAAATATTTTTATATTAAAAATTTATTTAATTTTTAATTTAAAATATATTTAATATTATAAAATTTTAACATTTTAATAATAAATATAAATTGAATAGGTGATTTGAGTCAAGCTTGAAACATAATCTAAAATTTAGAAATGTTTACAACGAAATGCCACCAAATTCATGGACACTTTTTAATTTTTTAAATTCGTAATTTTTAAAAAATTATATTTAAGAAAATATCAAGTACATACTAAGTGAAATTTGATTTGAAAAATAAAAAAGAATGAAATCAATTTGGATTTCAATTTATCATAACTTTTTTATAAATAAAAAAAAAATTATAACTATCATAACATCTAGATTCAGAGACTTGTTACTAGACATTGACTTGAAGAGTCGTCACTAATCTTTTTTGTTTAAGTGCAATTAGCCACCTGACTGAATCTATCCCTTTTTAAAAAGAAATCCTAAGTTTGACTTAGGTATATTTAAAAGGTTGATTCAATATCTGCAAAACTAAAATTACGTCTAATAGTATGGTTACGTATAAGGAATGTTATAACACCCCTATAACGTCCATCAAAGATAGTACCAACTAAATTTCGTGTTATCTATTAAGCTTTAAAAATTTTATCAAGTAATTAATTACTGAAAATTATTTTTAATTGACTCCAATACTTTTTGTAAAAAATTAAAAAAATTCTCTTACCTCAAGAGTATACAAGAAAATTATTGTTTCTCTTGCAAAGGCTCCGTCGTTAGATCATTTAACATTAAAAAAGAATTTTTGAAAAAGGAAAAGGAAAAAAAGAAATGATGCTTCAACTTTTGACATAAATCTTTTTTATTATGTTGTTTTATAAGAAAGAAAAACTCATGTTTTTGTACAAGAAAAATTGATATTTTCAACTTTTCTTTAAAAATATTTTTTTTAAAAATTTTATTTTTTAAAAAAATTGATACTTTCAACTTTTTCTCAAAAATACTTTTTTTTGAAAATTTTATTTTCAAGGAAAATTAACATTTTCAACTTTTTCTTAAAATGTTTTTTTGAAATCTTATTTTTAAGAAAAATTGATACTTTCAACTTTTTCTCAAAATATTTTTTAAAATTTTTATTTTTGAGAAAAATTGATATTTTCAACTTTTTTTCAAAAATATATATTTTTTAATTTTATTTTCAAGAAATCATTGAAAATTAAAGAATGCTTAATTAAATAAGTAAATGATTTTAATTTAATCAATAAATACATAAGCAAAATAATAATAATAATAATAATAATAATAATAAATAAATAAATAAATAAACAAATAAATAGAAAAACCCTTGACGCAGCTCAGCTGAGCCTGAATGGGATGTGGTTTCAGAGACAGGTGCGACTGAAACGGTTTAAAATGCGGCTTGGCTCGATGGCTCAACATAGAGGATTGGAGTGGGCTGGTAGGTCATTACGCTGCTGGTTGGATTGAACTAAAAGAAAACGCATGGATCTTACCTCATTTTTTAACCCAAAACAATGTCATTTTTGAAGCAGTATAAAAGGCCTAAAATCTGGTTTTTCCTCAAATGCTTCATTTTCTCTTTCTCTACCTCTATTGTATCTCTTTCTAAACGATTTTCGATCGTCATTTTTCATTGAATATCACCTAAAAAATCATCGATTTCTTGGTCCATCGTCAAAAACTGGTTGATTCAATGTTTGCGAAACTAGAATTAGATCCGAGAGTACGATTACGTGTGAAAAAGGTTATAGCACCCCCACAACATCCATCAAAAGATGTTATCAGCTCAATTTTGTGTTATCCATTAAGCCTTAAAAATTTTATCAAGTAATTAATTATTAAAAATTATTCTTAATTTACTCCAATACTTTTGGCAAAAAATTAAAAAAATTCTCTCATCTCAATAATATATAAGAAAACTACTGTTTCTTTTGCGGATGCTTCGTCATCGGATCATTTAACATTAAAAAAGAATTTCCAAGAAAGGAAAAGGAAAAAAAGAATGATGCTTCAACTTTTGACAAAAATCTTTTTTATTATGTTGTTTTATAAGAAATAAAAACTCATGCTTTTATACAAGAAAAATTGATACTTTCAATTTTTCCTTAAAAATATTTTTCTTGAAAATTTTATTTTCAAGAAAAATTGATACTCTCAACTTTTTCTCAAAAATATATATTTTTTTAATTTTATTTTTAAGAAAAACTAACAGTTTCAACTTTTTCTTAAAATATTTTTTTTGAAATTTTTATTTTTTAAAAAAATTGATACTTTCAACTTTTCCTTAAAAATATTTTTTTGACATTTTTATTTAAAAAAAAAATTGATACTTTCAATTTTTTTTCAAAAATATAATGATATTTATTACAATGATAGAAATACCATTGTGGTTGTCTTGTATTTGATGTTTTTTATCAGCAGATATGCTTCAGCTACACCAAGTCCTGTAGGTCAGATAATTAGCATGAAGTCCAAAAGTCCTAAATGGCGCAGAGTGGTATTCAAAATTAGTGGCGCTGGTCTTGCTTGCACTGGTCCTTAAAATATTGACCCCAAGGTTCACCATCAGTTTCTTATATATTTTCAGAAATTTGGATGCCATTATTATCAATATTGAATTCTTTAATAAGCTGTTTCTTTCTGATTATCAGGTGGCAATGCTG